GGAATTTGGTCAGAGAGGCGTACGTACGTACGTAGAGCGGCCGGCGACAGGGACGCTGGCGCGTGCACGGAGGACAGTGCTAACGGGACCCGCCGAGCGGCCGCCTCTCGACGGCTAGTTGAGCGCTTTAATCGCGGGCTCCGACGGCGACTTCTCCTCCTTCGCCGGACGCGTCCAAGGCCGCGCGGATTTGGATTCTCTAACGAGGCGCTTCCAGCGGAGCCGGCGTCAACGCAGCGCGAGGAGCGCCGGGCGACGAGAGCACTGGCGCGCGATAAATTAATAGCCGGGCGGCAGGGCCGTGCCAAGCTCGCGCGAGCAAAGTTTGCCGGGCGGCCACTCCGCTAACGGCAGCAGAGCCCAGTTTCGCGGTCGAGTGCCAATGGATATTGCGGCATTCATCGGCCTCGCTGGATGGAAAAGCAGAGCGCGAGCGGCGCCGAGGACCAAACTTGACACCGTTCCCGTTTATCGAGGTTTATCGAGGCCCCGGGGCAGCCGCTTAATCCGCGGCTGACGATCTCGCCCCGGCGCTGGCGCGCTCCCATTATCGGGCGTGCGATCACGCTTCGTAATCAATCCGCCGCGCACATGACCCTTGGCAGCCCTATTAATTAACGCGAGGCACTGCTCCATTCCTCGAAGCATTTGTAGGCAATTTTAGGGCTTTATTAGGCGGACAAGGGACCACCTCCCCTTCGAATTATCCGATGGATTATTCGTTCGCGGCTGCCTTCGCTTAGCGCTTAACCAAATCGATCTTTTACGCAAATACAAACGACTTCTCGATAAGTTGGCATCGCCGCGGACTTAATGATTTTCCGCGAAAGCCGGCTCGGCTTGTACGGGCTCGGCGCTACTGCCAGCTGGAATTGAAAATTTGAAAACGGGGCCCCACCGAGGGAGACGGATCGAGAGCGAATAAGTTAAACTGACACAGTTATCAGATTTTTTGCCGGCCGCTCACGGTCATGCTCCAACGAGTCTGGCTTCCAAATGAAGCCTCGACGTGTACGTGGAAGCTGGCGAACGGGCTTTCGGTATATCGCGAGCGGATAGATTGATGCTTCCGTCGTGCACAAATAGAAGGATTGGAGTGGCTCTGGAGTTCGATGCACGGGCAGCCATTGAAAGAAGAAAAAAAAGGCGATCGCTGGAAAAATCCAGGTATTAGAATGTCTCGAAGGGATAAGCCGGCGTCGTCGCTCGCGCAGAGCCTCGCCGGAAGAGAAGTAAAGGACGAGAGAAAGAGAGAGAGAGAGAGAGAGAGAGAGAGAGAGAGGCAAGTCAGCGATCCGAGTCTTTACGTCCCTTCCCGGAGCAGCCGCGAGCTGGCTCAATCGCATAATGCCGAGCGACTATGCACTAATTTGACGCGAACAGCCTGTCCGAGAGAAGAGAGCAGCGCGGAGTCGAGGGTACGCTTGAAATATCGGCGCTTAATCGGCACTCTCTCGCGAGCCCAGCGCAATAACAAATGAAATCTGCAAGGAGGCCGGGGTCATCGATCGGCATTCGCGGGCATTCGGAATGTATCCGCCGCGCGCATAAGCGTACGGCTCGTATGCGATGCTAAGCTCTCACGACTGCTCGTAAGTTTTTTGGTGGCGCACGAGCGGCCTTTTTGTCGATCGTCATTTGCCGCCGAGCGTGTCCACACGCTAGCGCAGCCACTGCCAGAGAAGAGGCTTGGGTGTCCCTGGCCATACGGTACTCGAGGCTCCAATGGGCCGCCACTGGTTCTCGGCTGGCGCTCTCTCTCTCTCTCTCTCTCTCTCTATCACGAGCTTGCCACTTTTCGCGCAGAGAAGGAACAACGGTCGCGGCCACTGGCAGCGATGAAAAAACCGGCAGTTTAGCCGAGTTTACCGGTTTTAACGAGCGCAGCCACTGCAGCGCTACGTCACTCGCCTAAAAATGAACGATCGTTGGGGCGCCCTCGGTCGCTCGCGATTAATCAACGCGTGCGCAATTAGAGCTCGCGCTGCCGGCAGGCGGATCGGATGTGACGCTCGTCACGGGGGAGCAGCGAGGGGCCCTCGCCGGCCGAATGCCCCCCAACGTCGCAGAAAAGTCAATTTGTCGGCTGAAATGAGCATCCGCGGTGACTGATCTGCGCTACGCGAGCCACTTATTAGTGGCAGCGCGTGCAGTACATGCACTTGACTTCCGTATAAGTCCATAAAGCCTAGCTGGCTGCCAGTCGGAGCAGAGTAGTCCTCGCTGCTCGGCTCTCGGAAGGGGAAAGAGAGCGATCAAAGGAAATTGCGAGTGAGCCAGCGAGAGTGCAGAAATAAGAAACGAGAGCCGCGGAGAGCGCGCGCGCGAGTAGCGAGGAGTAGCGAGGAGTAGCGAGGAGTAGCGAGGAGTAGCGAGGGCCGAGTCTTGCGCAAGAGGGAGAGAGAGAGAGAGAGAGAGAGAGAGAGAGAGAGAGTGCGCGCGACCTTGACCGTGCAGCCCGAGAGCAGCAGCGCCAACAATCGCTTCCTCGGCGCTTGCTCCCGGCCACTTTTACTTTGCTCGGCGATCGTTGGCGCGGCAGAGGCCGGTCGCCGCCCAATTCCTCTCCGCGGGCCCGCCGCCTCCTCGCCCAGCGCGTGTCTTCATCCCCGCTTCGGGCCCGAAGCTGCCCCCTCGTCGTCCGCCGGACGCCCGGCAGAGCCGACTCTTTGCCCCGCGTTCGGTGGACAGGCCGCGCTGTCGACCGCAGGCCTTTAGCTGTAAATTGACCGCAGCGCTGGCCAGGCCGCCTCGCTCGCTCGCCTCTATATTACATGATATGTAGGCGAAGTTTGATTCGCCTGCGCGAGTGCGCCGCGGCCGGTGCATTCGCCTCGCACGCATGCGCGCGGAGGAATCGCGACTTTTTCGGCATTACTCGGGCTACAAGTCGCGAGCACTCAGCCGTGTGGTTAATGTCCCGTTTGATTGGTCGCAATGTTGTTTGCCGCGCGAGCCGCGTCGTGCGAGCGCGCCAAGCCAGAGTTACCGCCGCCGTAGCTGCACGTGATCGCGACAAAAGGACAATACAGCCCCGATGACAATGTCGAGAACGGAGCTCAGCCTCTTCCCGCGCGCCACTCGCAGAGAGAGAAAGAGAGAGAGAGAGAGGCTGTACTCGGCCGAGCGTATAATGCTTGTACGTGACTCGCTCTCTGCCCTTTAAATCGACGCGACTCTCCCGTACGTATATATGCAATGTGCATGCGCATGCATACATCGCCAGACATTACCCCTCATGCACGTTCCGTTGTACGGATTAGTTTTACCTAATCACTCCATCTCGTCCGTCCCTTTTTCCTCCACTCGACGTTTGCTCTCCATTCCTTCTTCCGTCCCCTCCTCCTTCTCCTTCGTTCTTTCTCTGCCTGCAATCTCGCCTTCTTCACATTTGTCCCTTGTATGTTAATGCTCGGCTGACTGTAACTGCAATTAAGCTATCCTTCACCTCGCGCGGGCCATTTTTTTATCTGCTCAGTATTTACCTTTCCTCCAATCCACGCTTTACCCATTCATCCTCATGTTTTTCCGCAATTCATTCGTCTCGGTTGTTGGCGAACGATTTATAACGCAACAACAACGACTTGTTTTACAATCTCAATCAATTACTTGCAAGATGGTAAGCGAATGAAATGTCGACGATTCCAATACTTTTTCAGAAAGATGGAATTGTGCTTTTTATACAGTATACATCGAATCAAAATATGAAAAATTCATCTATACGATCGCACGAATATCGAAGCGATTCAGAACATTGTTTTCTTTAAACATTTCTTCGGCTTTCGTGTGATTGGCATGTTTTTTTTGATAAAATAGATTTACAAGTAGTTCTTAAACGTCTGTCCGTATGAAACTTATCTAAAGGATATCATTTGTAGAAACGGTCAAGTATTTTTAAAGAAAAAAAATTTGACTATAGAAATTATACAAGACGCGTAGGTAGAAAGAAGGGTTTAACATGACAACTATACAAGAGTAAATACAAGTGGCTGAATTAGAATAAAGTGATTGTCATTAACTAATAACGTTGCGAATAGCCAAAACGCAATGAGGATAGCGCCATTGTTGTTCTTTTATATTTTTTTCAGAACAGCTCGATGAACGACAATGCTTTAAAAAGGAAAACGTCTACTGAGACAATTGTGTTGTTTGTAACAAAAAGGGATTCATTCAATCTCATTCAATTTCGTAAGCAAAAGTACTTGATTAACACGGTATGGATGTTGAATTAACATTCCTGCACGATTTGCAAGCACGTATGAAATTATGATTTTAAATTCCTTTCTTGAATTTTCTTTTTTCGAAACGTAAAACTCGAATAGACCTGCTTATTAATTAGCTCGTAATGTAACCGATCGACTTTTAAAAACAGAAGACACAAAATAATAAGGTATAAATCATTTTTATGATGGTTCATAGTGTCCGAACATGAAAATATACGAGCAGTCATTTAATTTGGCTATAAAAGGCAGGCAGGTTTGTAAAGGTGCGTGATAATCAGCAATGTTATTTCTTAAAATTTTTAATTGAAATTGATAAAGCATCAGGAGCGAGCCGATATAATCGAGTTTCCTTCCACAAATAAGTCCACGCTGGATGTTTGGTAATTGAGCTTGTTGCGCGAAATAATGAAAGAACGGTTGCATTCGCAGAGATGGTTAAAAAGGAAATCATTATTTCTTTCACGAGTAACACGCGGCGCTTTTCAAGGCGCACCGCGCATCGGGCAACCACCAGTACGAAGGTGTTGCAAGTCCGGACGAATCGTACTCGCGCGCGCTCAACACTGCTTTTCTTCGATTTTATACCTTTTGTACATTTAGGCACGAGACTCACATCCGCTTTGCGATCTGGCACCGATTGCTCGTATCATTTTTCGATCTCCCTGGCGTTCTACCGGACTGAACGTTTCAAGATTGCGACAATTGACCGAAGCTATTTGAAGCCAACTTAATAACGGCATAGACAATGAAGGCAACGAAAATGGAGCGTTGACTTACGATTTGAAAACTTGGCTCTTCCTCGTGGTCTCCATGACGCCGGCAGTCAGCTTGCACAGTTTGACAAACGACGAACAAGGCACTATCACGGATCGTTGGGCAAATGACGTAGATTAGGAGATCACTGTGAGTCGTTGGCAGAACAGAAATGCAAACTGCTGGCAATTATCACTGGGACTCGCTGGGATGAGTGTGACTGATGGAAACTGGTCATTCGTCCGCTGGAGTGGATGCGAGCCGAGAACGGAACGAGCGTGCGAGGTGAGAGCGCCAAGATCCGTTGAAAACAATAGAGCGGCTGTCGAGCGGCTCTAGGCGCACTCGCGGCGCAGGACTCGGCGGACGTACGGAGGTGCGCTAGTGGATCGTTCCGTTCGCCAGGCAGCACTGTGCCCGGCCGCAGCAGACGAGACGAGACGAGTACGCGACGTACTTTGCACTACTACTACTGCCTACTACTACGGAACTAGGAGTAAGAGACAGAGTGAGAGAGAGAGAGAGAGAGAGAGAGAGAGAGAGAGAGAGAGAGGACGAGAGGGAGAGATAGAGAAAGAAGAGAGTGAGAGAGAGAGAGAGAAAAGGGAGAAAGAGGAAGGAGGAGGAGGAGAAGGACGACGGTTGCGGCAAAGTGCGAGAAGCTCTGCGTGGCGCGGCAGCTGAGGTGCAGGAGGATGCTCGTCGCGTGGAGCACTGCGCGCTAATGACGTGGTCTAGGAGATGCTCGTCAGTTTTGTAATAAGCGACGGTAAAACGTGAATTTTCCCGAGGTGGGGAAACGCGCCTGGGGCCAATCGCGGCCGGCGAGAGTGCCGCCACTGCCGCCGCCACCACGCGGCCAATCCCCTTCCCCAAACACCTCGCAGGATCCATCTCTCTCTCTCACTCTCTCGCTCTTTCTCCTCTCTCGAGGAGATGATCCTGCCACCACTTCCTCGGTCGCCGACCGAGGGGAAGGGAACCAGCGGAGCATCCTTATCTACTGCTCGTAGCTCTCGGAAGAAGTCTTGCGCGATATTGCTCTGTATATACAAGCTCTCTCTCTCTCTCTCTCCCTCTCTCGCGAGCACCTTTATGCTCTTTATCGGCAAACGACGCGTAACGCCCGAGTGCTCTAACGCAATTTAATGCCGCGCTGCTCTTTACATCCAACACACCAAACCTCTGCTGACAGCTTTAGGCAGCTGCAAATTTGTCTCGCCTGATCGCTGTAAGATTAGAACCAATACTTTTCTTTCTTCACGTCCTAAACACCTCGTGAATACCCTTTTCTTATGCGATTTCACGCACCTTCGGCTGAAATCTTTTGCCATTGACAAAAACCTGTGACATTTCGATCACAATACTCAAATTAGTACTTGAGTGAAATATGATTATTTCTTAATTCTTAATACTCGGTAAAGCTATAGATTAACTTGACATCTTGAAAACGTTCTGATCGAACTCAGTGTTTGATGACTGCGCGTTTCAGTCACGTCCATGTCAGATTAATTATAGTGGAAATGAAATGTTCTCCGGACTGCGAAATCATCTTGTTTACTTTGAACACCAGAAGCGACAACGTATCAATTCAAACAATTGAGCTTGCCCTTAAACCGAATTTCAAATGGCGATTGAAAATGACGTGCACGATGGATCGAGAAAAAATGCTGAAGAAGTTAAGTGTAATTGTGTTTGAAAGACTAACGAAAGTATTGGAAAATGCAAGGAATGGAAGCTGGAAAGCGAAGCGAGCTGTGCGAATCGCGGCTGAAATCGGTCGGCTAGGACAATAGGCATAGGTAAAATGAGGTGCGAAAGAAAAACGGAAGTGAGAACGAAACAGCGTGGGCTCCGCTGCAAACGGGACTGATGCTTTTCCATATACGCGTCAAATGAATCAGCTAAGACGCAGCTGAATTGTAGTTGATAGTTCGGCGGGGCGCAGCCGTTACGCGGAGAGAATTCGATCGCCGTAATCAGGCCGAAGCCGAAGCTGTGCGAGAGAGGGAGAGCCACACCCGCACTATCTGAATCGAGGGCCAGAACGCAGCGGAGAGCGAGACAACAATGAGAGGCCGACTCGCAATTGATCGGTACAATAATAATTTATTGGCGTCGGTGGTGGCAAGTACTGACAGCAGCGGCAGCAGCGGCAGCAGCGGCAGCAGCAGCAGCCCAGTAGAGATGGAAGTGGCAGTTCGCGCGGGTCTGTATGTGCGCCGGGATCGTTAGTGGATGCACCGCTGCCAAAGCCGTTCGGCGCTCGCTTGGCTGTTCGCCTGTACTCGCATCTAGATCTCCGGGTGGTGGAAGCGCGGCTTGGCGTTCTTGCAAACAGCCTGGGAATCGAACCCGGAACCGCGCAGCCAACGCCAAGCGCTACAGCGCACCCATCGTCCTTTCTCTCTCCCACCCGCTACTCAGCTCTCATCCCATTTCTTTCCTCTTTTTACTTCTAACTCTCAACTCAACTCCGAGCCTGCGAGTCGCCCTCGAGCCGCGCGGCGCGCATACTCGCAGCGCCTCGGATGCGCCTCCTTCGCCAATTTTCAGACGGGACCGAGCTGCCCGTTAGACGCCCACGCACATTTTTGCTTTTTTACAGCCTCTGCTCGCCCGCTGGATATCAATTTTTTTTTCTCTCTCGATACTATAAGCTGCTCCTGCTTCCCCTGCCACGGTTACTGCTCTGTACTGTTTGTTGCCCATCTGCGCTTGCAACTCTTCATGCAAACCATCGACATTTTTTCCTTTCCATGCCTCTTCCGTTATCCCGACAGAGTTTCGTCTTCCGTTTTATTTTTTACTATTATTCCCATGTACGTTCGACCGTCGACCTCTGACCAAATCCAAACAATTTCATGCCGCTAACAACCCTTTCCAATGCCTCGTCAATCGATCAGAAGCATCTAGCTCGATTCCAAACGTCATCGAGCGCAGATTGCCGATTTCAGTGTTGGACACCGAATGGTCTACAATGTCAGACCTTCATTCTAATTTCAGTTTAAACGTCAACAATTCCATGTCACTTTTGACAGATTCATCTTCAAAACTTCAAATTTCTATTGAATCCATTCTGACGGTACAGCCTTTTTATTTTTTTCTACGCATTTTATTTCTCACACTTGTACGGACCAGTTTTTTTCACGACACAATAAATTAACAAAGCACATTTTTTTAAATATCTATTAAGTATACATCTTTCAATGGTAAAATATCTCATCGAGATATTTTCATATACTGCAAAAGACCATTGACTAAGTTCAATTATTAGTGTCGCTTGTCATATATTTTTCGAAATTTTGTAAATTAATAAAGCTCAAGCAAGTTCCATTTCATTAACTGATACTCGCGTCAGAAATTAAAAATATAAAGCAAATATATAACGGCGAAACCTTGCAAAATCAAGTGCGTAAAATTGCACACGTCATGTGTGTTGCTCCCATTTGAAATACGTTGACTCAAAATTATACGTCTGGATCTGCGTTGTAAAATCGGTGACAATGTATTTAAATGGGAGCAACACACATGGCACGTGTAATTTTACACACTTGGTTTTGCCGTGTATCGGTGCGCGGCAGAGATGATGCGCAAATGTTATATTACATCCGGTTGAATTTCCAATTGCTTTCATCAGTTAGGCTTGAAGCTGCAATCATGCTTAATACGTCCGGTTTTATGGCTTTTCGAGACATCGGTGCAATTAGTCAAGAATTTTCTCAGTCACGAGCGCGATGCCAATTGACACTGTGCGCGAGTCCTTCTTTCTTTTTTAAGTTGATTCACAGGCAGAAGCCCTTTAGACAAACGCTAACATAAAATTATAAATCTATAATTAAACTCCCTTGAGAAAAAACATCTCAATGCTAATTTTCTTGCGTCCAAGCTTCTTATAACAAGATTAACTCTCTTATAACTGGAGGAAATTTTTTCTACTAGTTATACTCAGAAGTATCCTTTTATTACAAGTAAATCTTTTGTTCGTGGAGGGAATGTGAATATCAGTTTGATAGCTATTGTAACGAGAGTATTTGCAAAAATTGTCAACTAAAAAATTAACATTTTTTGCGGACCAATCAGAGTTCAACATAGGAAACTAAAAGTCTTCTTTATCTTCGTATAAAAATCGGCCTCATAAAGATATTCTCATGAAACTAATTGGTTCCCTCAATGTGCACTAATCCTCTTATAATAAATTTGAGATTTTCAAATCAACATAGCCTGGAATGAAATGCTTCTTGTAACAAGAGGATCATCTTGATCCCACAAAAGATATTTCTGTTACAAGAGGATACCTTTTTAATTCAACAAAATTTTTTTTATTACAAGAAAGTTTACCTGAAATTACCGTGCCCTTTTCATAAGATGATCATTTTTTTTCAGCGTATCTTTAATATAAATGAGAGCTCAATTATTAAAATTTTCACGTCTTTTCGTACGATATGGTTATACGTTCGTTGAATATTATTTGAAACGTGCTCATTGGTCTCTCTCATTAAAGAGAATTTCTGTCAATAATTAATGCACAAATCGTACGCTCGTGTTAGAGCAGTTCTCAGAACTTCCTTAATGTACATGACAGTGCGAGCAATGAATGTACTAGAAATGTAAAATTTTGAAAAATTATGTAACAACAAAGTGAATCACATGAAAATTTTGTCCCACGATTAAAGCAAAATACAGACTACTATAAAAGTGCGGAACTTTTCTAGGCAGCTTGAACAGCCTTTACTTACGTCTTTCCGGTTGTCATATAGCGGCGAGATAATTTCAAAGAAGCAGTATATATTCTCAATCTAACATACGAGACTGCGCACACCTCTATATTAAATGAAAACAGCTCGATCAGGTTCAAATAGTAATGGAAGTAATATTCATGACCCCGCGAAAAAAAAACTGGCACAACATTTTTTATACAAAATAATACGAAATTGATATGTATTTATTGTTTTTTTTTCTATAAAATAAAAATATTTTATTATTATTTATTTATAGTATTACGATATTAGTGTGGTAAAGTAGATTCTTGTCTCGTGTGGTTTTTACGCCCGAGCGAAACCGAAGGAAGGGTGGTAAGTCACACGAGATGAGAATCTTTTTCCCGAACATATATCAAAGTCAATACGGAATTTTTCACTGTCGATTCATTTAAAATACACTTATGATTATTACACATTTTGACCATACCTGTCTATTTGATATTATAATTATTTTGCTGTTATTTCGACAGTTTTAATTTACGCAATGGAATATTCCATTAAGAACTTCTTAAGAAAAATGGTTCAATACATATAAATGTAGCGAAAATGATGTACGCAAAATGTATAAAATATACTTAATATATGTATACTATTTGTGCGAATTTTTTCATAAAAAATGTGTCCAAATTTAGTATAGATTTGATATAAACTTTCTATATATACAAATTTTGCGCAACATTTGTATCTTTATTTTTAATAAAGAATCTATTTTTATATATCTACACATAAATACAATAAATGCAAATTTCGAAATACCGTGGGAAGTCATAATGTCATAGTGCAAGTGCTATACTAATGATCCTTTATCGTAGCACAATACAATAGTTTGAGGGTCGTATTATTAAGAAGGCGATCCTGCCTTACAATACAGCTAAAACGGAAGAACTAGATAAAAAGTAGAAAATAAACGCGTATGAAAAATAACATGTATAAATCAAAAACTAACACATAATTAACTCATCAAGAACATCGGTGTCTCCTTGAACACCATTTTTAAGGGTACTAAATCTTGACGAATAAGTTTGTTGCATAATATTTAAAAATTCACAAATTATTGAAATACATTATTATCATATATTATCGATATTTGAAAAATACCATTAATAAACTCTCGTATCTTCATGCGGATCAATCAATAATAGAGCTCTATACAGCCATTCCTTCAGAATAAATTTTCCTTAACATTCCTAAACACATTTAATATTATTAAGTTAGAGTGTAATGAATTTATTGTTATAAATTCCTTATTATATGTTATAACAAGTTTATTCTTTGAAATTACACTTTATTTATGCGATTTAGATATTTATACATAAGCAATTGTAAAGGTGATCTGAACCATTCGTACAAATTTACCTTACCTTTTACTGTTATTCACTGTACATAATGAAAATGATCAAGCTAAATTTGGTAAATAATATAGTAAGTATAAAAATTTAGATATATATACGAAAATGTTGATGTATAAAAAAAATTATTCATTTAATAATTTCGAAAAATTAAGGTAGGATGGTTGTTTTTTGAAAAAAAAAAATCTGGGCAGTTAGAAAAGTAAATGAGAGAAACAGGAATGTAGAGAAGACAAATTCGAAGATCAATTTGGAATGACTAGGAGTACGAAAATGTATAGTAGAGGCCGCAAGCGGCATGCTCTTTCGATAGCGAGATGGTTGCATAAGTAGCAATTGATTGCTCGATTTAACAACCACGCAGTCTTCTAGATCTTCTCTCTCCCTCTGTTTCTCTCACTCCTTTCTCGCTCTTTCATCTTCTACGGTCTTGATAGTTATGACAGAATCTGATACAAAGTGATAAGTTGCACAACTTGTCCGCACGATCGCACCGATGATCTATCTAGCTTGATCTATTGTACATCTTTTATTTTCTGATCACTAAATAGATGACAAGTTCTTATTTGCTTTTACTTTGAATTTATATTGAAGTTATTACTTTTTACTAATTATTTATTATTGTTTTCGACATATTTATTATTACCATTTCTAAATTACGATCAGTTTAAAAAAATTTTCAACTGAAAAACAACTAATTTATATTATATCATATATATTTTGAAAACTAGTTGTAGAACCACAACTTTGTCTTGAAGCAAATTTAATATGATGATCAACTCCGCGAAAAAGAGTACCTTAACTTGGTACCTATAAATTTTCATGAAGTTACACTTGCAATTTTTGTGATATTAAAAAAGTGATGTGAAAAATTTTAACAAAGTTTGGACTTATCATTGCGCAGATTTACGACCCTTAGTTTTTATAGTTTTTTAAAATTTAATGAAAATCAAAAAGGGACAACCTTAATTGAAGCTTGAATTCAAATTCTACTGCGACGTCGTGGTTCAGATATGTCTGAGGCTAACGTAATTTCAGGGTTTCTTAGTCATGACAACTGCGATATCTTGTCTAAACTGGCTGGAATTATCGTTGAACTAAAAACAAAGGAAAGTACTATTTTTGTGAACTCTTGCCATTCAGTTCCAATCCATAGTGGAGATTTAATCGAAAATAGTACCCCAGCTCCACCAATAGTAGTATCCACAAGGATAATTGTCTAGATCCAAACGATCGTAGTATCTAAACATTAAAGAATGGGATTTAATCTGGATAGCGATCAAAAGGAATGATAGAAAGTTACTTAAATTTTTTTTACTCTTTATTTTTGGTTGAAACACATCTATTCAAAGTTTGTAGCTTTGCATACACTTATATTATTTTTTTCCGGCCTGGCTGTTTGATTGCTACTAAGGGTAACTACCATCTACGAAGTTCAGAAATGTCCTTTGCACTCAACGCAGACGGTTTCCTTGGTGGAAAGCGCTTAATTTTTTGGAAATTTTTGTCTCGTCTCTTTTATTAAGAGAAGGATCTTGTCCCTACTACTTGAGTCTAAGGCAGTTGATTATTTGGGCTTATCTTGATTAAGTTTGATTTTCTTCTTGGGTGTAGACGACGTTTTATATAGAAATTCGTTTGCATTACCGCTCCATGTCAACACATCATCTCGCAGCTTCACCAAATCGGCAAGAACATTCGTTGGTGGTGGGCATTTTAGCAGTCAATTTCTGAGTTGACTGTTTGAGAAAGTGCTCGCTCGTTTACTGTAGAATATATTTTGCTGTTGTGACAGAATCCCGTTATTAGTTTCAACTGTATTCAAATCATGTGTACTATCCGCGATGTCATTTTTTTGTTGTAGTGGTGTTTGATTGCTATTGATTGAGTCGGAGCATAATTTTGTAGATTTCCCTTTTATTGACAGACGGAGCAGCATATAGAATTTGTACTACGGGACACTCCGTAGGTTGTGGTATAGTGAATTTGCAAAGATTTCGGCAGGAAGTTTTCGTCTTCTTTTATATACACATACGACGCCTGAACGAAAGAATGGGCGATTGGCCAGGCTTATTTAGGTCTGCACGAATATATTACATATTCGAGATAGTGTTTATTCTTTTATTTTTCAGGACGATAATCAGTAAATTCGTATTAGTCTTATTTGTTATCCATCAGCAGCCTGATTTTCAGTTTATGAACGTAATAGTATTTTCATCTGTTAATTAAAATAATAATTACAAACCCTAATTGAAATTATGGCAATTAGCTTATCTATTATTTAAACTAATAAAGATGCACAAATACTCACGCTTAATTATAATTGTGTGGAACGCAACTTCACAACAGGCGTGAAAGTTTTATTATTAATTACTCGAATAATTCGTTTATAAAGTTAAAAAACTCGTTTTCCAATTAGTTTTTATGGATTTCTAATGAACCTAAAGAAAATATAATAGAGCTTATTTGAGAGAAACTATTGAGGGTTATTATTTATTATTTATTATATTATCAAATCTGTAAATTTTAACATAGATTCTCTGTGTTACATTTTTAGATATTACAAATTGATGAAACTCGAAGAAAAGTGAAAACAAAATGTAAATAAATTTTACGACTCTCACTTATTTAAGAGAAGGACTTCTAACTGCAGGTGAGTAACAAAGGACTTTCGTAGCGACAGAGATCGCAGTTCCTAGAGACCTAGATCTGCAAAATCTTTTATACGTAGTTTCCAGATAATTTGAATGCCTCCGTGGGAAAAAAATGAATATCGCAAAAGAGCGGGAGGTGGGCCTGCATATTACCAATCTTTTGATACTCATTGTACCATTCAATCGTAAAATTAAAAGCGTACCCTCAACATACATTTTCTTGAAACCATGCAAAATTCAAAGACTTTTTTCATGAGATTAGTTATACATATATATTTAAAAAATAAATTCTGTAGAAACGTTTATATATATAGAAAAATATATATTACCGATATGGATTCAAATTATTTATATTTGTTTTTTATAAATGATGCGATTTCTCATATTTTTCCGTTACACTGAAATTATTTAGTCGAAGAAATACATGAATATTTTGCATTTGTAATTTTATCTACACTTGCATCGACAGGTCGCATAGAAATGTTAACCCTATTATCATGATTACCACTTGATACTAATTTGATTGTCGAAGATGGGCAATTAATCAAGTCTTCATGAAAAACTAAAAAATGATTAATCTTCTATCACAACTGAGTATAGTAATTTTTGAATTAATTTATAGAAAGTGTAATTAAATACCATTAGCTTCGGCTTTACTACAAATGAAGTTTAAAATTTCAATACGATTTGGGTCCAAGTGACCTCCTCCGATTTCTATATGATCCGCAGCATGAGCACACTATATGAAAATAAAATTTGATCACAAAAAAAATATTTCTGTATTTTATTTCAAGATCTCAAATGTTCAACATATACCGTATAAGTAGGTATACGTATTCTAAATAAATATTTTAGAGCATAATGCAATATAACAAACCTGTAAGATATTTGAGGTTCTGGAATTTCTATTTCCTATATTAAAAGAATTAAATTGAACTGCTGTAGGATATGAGGCCCAAATAGAGCAATTTCTTTTCTGACCGTGGTTTTGTAACAGATAATACGGTTCATCAAAGTGTATAATATTGCAAGCTAAAGTTATAATATTCGAAACTATTAATTGGCTGCTTATAATTTGTACTAATATCATAAATCATTAGCACTTACGAGACGGATGTTTTTTGTGATCAACGAATATTGTAAATCCTTTCCCAATGTGTGGTATTCTGTATGATATTTGAGCACCATTTTGAGAACTTACGAATGTTTTGTGTAACGGTTTATTGTCGGAACAAAACTCCGTCTCTTCAGTAGAATATTTAGACAGACCCTCTTCACTCGGGAAAACTTCTCTTTTAAGTTCCCAACCATCACGGTACTATAAAATCAAACAATCTTATTCACATTCAAATTAAATTTTAAATTTGCCATATAGACGATGGGTTAATCAACCTTTATTTCGTAAATAATAATATATTTTTATATTTATTATTTTCAAGGCAATAACTATAGTTAAACATTTTGTAAATTACCTGAACTAAGCCACCCACTCCTCTATTTTTATTGCATGGTACATCAAATTGGGTAAAAGCTATTTCTATCAAATTACGTGAGCTAGTCACAAAATAGATACCACAAGTGGTTGTGCGATTGCTAGTTGATTTGTAAGTAAAGTATCCAGTTTCCGATGAAACAAACAAACAATCTAGAATAATTATAATATTCTACATATTTCTGTCTTATATAACGTATAAGACGTACGTTATTTATAATTACATTAATTGTTATTTATTGTCATATCTTACTTTGAGGAGTATCTGGAATCGTTACAGTTTTAATTTGTTGATTGTAGATAGCATTGTCGTCAATTATAGCCTAAAACGTTAAAATATAACGTTTTACATGATATTGATTAAAATTAACCTGAAACTCACGTGATATTTGATAACAACAATTATTTAACCAGGTGGTTATTTCTAAAAGCTAAACAACAGTACGTACAGTCAATATTGCGTTAGGAAATATTCCGAATAATTCACTTTGATAAAGAAAAAAGACATATCCAGCTAAAATCATACAAAAATAAACTAAGAAAATTAAGATAAAAAATAATACTGTGGGACCTTTTAGTTGACCAAAAAGATCCTTTTTCGTTACCGACGTACCATATGCTTTGCCATAAACGTAGTCATTTTTCGCAATGTATAACTCATAATTTTTGAAGCCTAAAGATACGTGTTTATAAAACATTAAAATTGCATTACGCAGAAATGTTCATATTAAGATTCATTGACATAATACAGAGGAAGAATCATAAAAAACGATCAACAATATTCTGTTGTCGTGAGATTTTATCTAGTTTATGAAATCGCAATTGGAAAAGTTTTATTTTCTTCGTTATAAATTATGACGTATAGTACGATTTAAGTTGAAAGGTACACAACACATATTTGCTGTACGTTATCTTACAAGTAAAATTCAAACAGTGTTATTTTCTCGAGGTCGTAGTGTACAGTTAGATTGAGAACGATATAAACAATTAATACATACATAGTTATTTTTAAAATATACTTTATAAATATTCATACTCACATCTACGCCAAACTCATGTAAATGGCTAAATACCAACAATACTATGCAGAAAGTCCACATATTTCAATCTGTAAATATGGGTAGATCTGAATATTCGAATGAACAATCAGTTTATTTGAATTTCCATAAGTAGACGAAATTGTTAGGAAATTCTATTTTCAAATTTAATATAAAAAAGCAAATGTCATAACGTTCCTGTTATCCAAGACATGCACTTGTGAATTTTATTAACTATATCAGCAGAGACGCGACACCACCAGATGATAATGATGATAAATTTAAAAAGAACGTGTATGAATTCGTTATACTTATGTATTGTACTGAAAAAATATAAAAAGTATGATACCTTCGGTTTCAATACTGTATTCTTACAAATCGTTGTTAATTCACTATTTGGATTCCTACTTAGAAAACATCATTTAATAAATTATGTTGCATAACTGATATTTCAGTTATTTTAATTTTTAATTAATGTGACAATTATAAAACAGAGTTTCGCTTAAATAAAACAAATTATTTTAAAGATAAAATTTATATAGACTAAACTGAAATACTTTATTTCGACTGCTTATTTATTCTCTGGAAACATGCATATTGCGTGACAAATAACTGAAAATAGTATTCACCTGGAACATTTACGGATAAGTCGTTTATATTTGATTAGTGAAATAAAGAAAACTAATAATACTAATTTCATCGTCACATTTTTTGCAAGCTAAATAAAACAATCGAAATATATAAATTTGCAATAAGTTGCCTAAAGTTTTACACAATACAACAGTTGAATGTTAAGTCATACGTATTAGAGTCGTATCGTTACATTTTTTTAGAACACAATATGTAAATGTACTTTTCTCTCATAGCACATATTCTTTTCTAAAATTAGTGATCGAGTGCTTATTAATATCTCGTGGGCAAGAACTATTGTCCTAGTGAAATCTGACTGATTTAACAATCAAGTTAAAGACAAAGTGCTATTACACAAATTAGTCAAATTTGAAAAAAAGTAAACCGATTGTTATTGTACAAGAGTATGTTATAAAAATCAAGTACTGTTCAAAATCAACACAAGTCAAGTACGTATTCTGTAATAGCTCCAACTAAACCGAGTAAGTAAATGCGTATATGTAGAGGCATTCTGAAGTGCGCTACCCCCGCCATACGTCTGCTGCAACGTACTAGTGCAAACATTAGTTCTTAATTTTATCTTACATATGCAGAGAAAAATTTCTTTATAAATTCGTTATCTTCAGCGCGCTTGCGCGACTACGCACGTGTAAGTTTCAAGACAAATATTTTTTCCTTCCAGTAACTAACTTGCTCACGTATGAAATTTATGTGGCAAGATCCCCGTAAATAAAAAATTAACCCGACGTAAAAATATTATGTAATATTTACATGACAATTGTTCATAAATAGAAGCGCTGTGGCTGCTATGTGAACGGTTAGTTTATTCAATAAATTTCAAAGTGCAACACATACTGGAAATCTAATTTAGAATGAAATAGAAGGATATTCTTTCACTTTTTAGATATTTCAAAGAAACATGTACTGCCATTTACTTAAATTTTCCTACATCAATTTAACTGAAAGTTTTAAAAAAGGTATATAATGATGAGTTAATAATCTAATGACAACGGTCCTTACAATAATTTTCAAGTTTCTTTTATAATTATTCATCATGCTTTAATAGCGTTTGTTTAAATAACTACATTTTCTTTGCTACAATTGTAATACCTATAGCGCCTAGCTACACGATACCCGTGGGAGAGTCTATTTGATTTTATGGCCATTTGCTGTCACGCTTCAATAATAGCTAACGTTCGTCATTTCCCCAACAGTTGTTTTGAGCTTTAATAATGATTTAAATTCTACAAAAAGTTGAACATTAAATTGTAATAATCAAATATTGTCACAATTCGGCCAACAAATAGTTGATATTTGTAATTTCTTAAAATAGTTTTACTTCTTAAAGTTTCTAAAATGAAAATTAATCAACTTGTATATACCTGCGTTATAACATCAGATAATGTTCAACTTATTGATACATTTCTTATAAGCGTATCTCATAAATACGAAAAATAATTTGTCTGGTAAACTGAAAGTATGCAAAGTATAGTACGATTGCTTTGTTGACATAGAATGGCATTTAAAATATTAAGTTGACACGTATTCATAAAATATTTCTGCAATCAGAATGGCGAAGGGATTGTTATTAGGATCCAAGAAATCATGATCGGATGATCGATTGAGTCACGCTGAGTTTATACCGCCGTACGCGCAGCTGCAAGAAAACGAAGTGAACCCTAGAGTAATGATGATCCTGAGGTCGATCACCTGCCACGCTCACTGCGAAGGTCGATTGTATTTTATATCGAATTCTCTCGACTTTTGCCCTTCGTGGTTTTGATTCAACTTACGGAATCACCAACGTCAAACGTAAATCAAATGAGCAACTTCGTGCTGACTATACTTATTATTTCAAAACTGCACTCGTAAAATCACCATTTATGTATACTGCAAATATATAAACCTTAAAAAAGCATGCTGAATGAACGCCGTATTAAATAAAGAATGCCTTGCTGATTTTATATTTGCAAAAACAAAAAAGGAAGCTCATTGATTACAGATTATTGACCCATGAAAAAGTTGTAGCCGTTGCGGTTGAGGTAATACTGTAATGTATATAGTTGGTCAATCGATTCCTACAAAATACGTACAAATTTTTTGCACAGATAATACAATCCAATTAACTTAGGAAACGATCACATAGTAAATTTTAATAGGCTCTGGTATATTTTTTTACTCACTCCGATATTTTTTCCTGACTTTACGTCAGAATTGACATTGCCAGCTGTCCTATAACTTTTACTAATACACTATTCCTTTCAAAAAAATGAACATTTTCATTCTAAAAGTGTAATAACAATTGCATAAACGGTTATCCAATCAAAATTAGCATTCATTTGTGTAAAAATCTATTACTTCGTAACATAAAAGAAAACTAAAATTTTATAATTTCTTATTTTTAGTAAAACTGCTTTTCATCAATCCATTACGATCACATAGTTTATTGATTTTGCTGATATATTTTAAACTTAGTTTTGATAAGATTTTTAATTAAGATTACTATGCTTAACCAAAAAAATTCATTATACGGTGAAGATAAAAAAATAAATATTAATATCACTTACGGATGGAATCAATAATGTGACATAGTCCTTCAAATAATTTTTCATCGACCAGAAAACAGATTTGAATAATATACATAGCTAGTATCAAAAAATAGTAAATAAAAATTCTATTGGTAGCACTTAGTTTTCTGGATAGTTCGTCGTCTATTTCAGGAAAAAACATTGTCATATGATAGAGCGAATATAATTAAATCAAAAACAAAATGTGTTGTTAACCTGAATTCCAGATACATCGAATATCATAAAAAGAATCTTCGGTTTCGTAACAAGCATCGGTATACCAATTTTTTAAAAGTTGAGTAGCTATGGGTATCGTTAATGCTGAAATTGATCATTGCACATTAATATTCGTAATAGATAATCATTGATTCTATAAATACTTCAACAAATTCGTGTGTAGAATAATAATATTATTATAGCGTCTCAAACTTATCGTTGTTTTTCGAAACTCTTTTACTTATAATCAGAAATAAATGCCAGTACTAATCTAAGGTTTTCCAACTTATCTTGTTGCATTACTTACGAATTGTTTTACATTCTCCATTTTTTCCGGAATTTCCAATCTGATGTCTAAAATAAAAATAAAAAAATATCAGACTGTAATATGATATAAAGATAATAGTCGAAATTCGAAGGAAAAATAATACTAGGAAAAGATATCCAAAATTTTAAAGAATTAATCAAATAGGTGCGCGGGAATTACTTATCAAACTGCAAAGAATTGACTAGTGCTCTGCTTTCTAGAACTGTAGCATTCGCCTTTCCCGCACCTTCCATTATTACAAAATATCTTCGTAGAAATGACGACTGGCAAAGAACAATTTGAACAATGTTTCAGGCGAAACCTTCGATTGCAAAAGTTATGAACACGCAACTATCTAACCATAAACAATACTCAATAACTTACAAGGTTCAATCAACTAGGCAAAACAGATTATTTAATGGTTTATTTTGGATACCTTCGATTCACTAATTTTTTAAAATTGACACGACTTAAAATTCAAAGTAGATTGATTAGTTATCGGTAATTTCGTAAAAATATAAGTAAATAATAATGGATTCTAGTATAAACTGAATAATTTTTTGGTTATGTATGACAAATGACAATAAATATTTATGAATATATGTGTGTGTGTGTGTGTGTGTGTGTGTGTGTGTGTGTGTGTGTAAAGAAATTTGTACTTTTCACATATAAAACAGTTGAATCATTTAAATACAACAACAGAATATTATATAACTTGTCAATTAAATTATTTGACTCACTTAGAAATTAGGATTGTTTTTAATATACTGACAGCTGAAAAAATCTAATTAAAACTCGAAATGTTTTACAATATACATAGTCAGTGGTTCTATCAAAATCGAATTTCTTTTGTCATAATTATAAAATTATCCTACTTTGTTCTGTCACTACGAGAACCTTTTTCGAAAAACAACAAAGTTTGACATTGATAATGGACTTTTTAAACGTTAAAATTCAATTAGTGATATACCATCAAACTGATATTTCAACCTTATGTCGTATATTAAAAAAAAGAGAAATAAGAAGCAGTAGTACTATTTCTTTGGAGAGTAATTGTTGGTAAGGATACAATCTAATAAATGTAGTTGTATGTAAAATTGCAGTTGTATGTAAAATTTGTAAATATTGATGGAACCACCAAATACCATGATTTCAAAAATCCAGTTGTCAATATAGTTATTAATCATTGAAAAAATAACTGATATAAAAAAATGCTTTAAAAATGCGAATCAATAGCTTGTATCACAAACAATGAATTTTTGCAGAATCTAATTAGTTTTCATCTAACAGTAATGAAAATTGTAAAATATATTACATAAAAGTACACTCACCTGAGTCAAGTAAGATAATAACATCAATTTGGTAATATTTTTGGATGAATATTGGATATAAACTAATACGATGATATTTGTATATAATATTTGAGTTTTCAGCTTTCAAAGCCAGCCTCGCGTACAATGTGTTATTGTTTTTTCTGAGAGAGCAACGGGCTTCGCGAGAAGTTGTTTTGATTAGTCATGCAAGTATAATTTTTTGATGATCTTTATTTATGGGAAAAAGTAATCTGATATGACTGCGCGACAATACATAGACAAAGCAACTCTGCGAGATCAGTGTGATAAGACAGAGTATGATGCCACTGTATTTCAACGCGAGTTTGCGTGAGTATGCACAGCGAGTCAAGTCTCATGATCAAATTGCCCGAGTAGCGAACAATTCAATCAAATTTGAAAATAGTTGTTCGTATGAGCGTCTTTGGGTTAATTACTTGGTTGGAAAATTCTTACTTATAATAAATAAGACAACAAATATTTCATGTAACCCAATTTATCATGTTACTTCAGTTTATCATGATCATTATATTTTTATCCCCCTCCCCTCATACCATTATATAATTAAAAAAATATATATATTAAAGGAAGAACATTTGTCGTGTCTTCTTTCTAATGATTTGCCTAAACGAAACATTGACGATATTTGAAAAAATTAATATTGATAAATGTTGTAGTAAGATTATGATTCACCAATTTGGGAGCGTTCTATTTAGCGGTTTCATCATCAAAAAAAATTAAGAGTCACTGGTGTTTATGTTTACTTCGAAAACGAAATTTTAGTGTACATCATAATCAAACAATTATTATTCCAACCTTGATAAATTTATGTACAAAGCTTTATTGATCATGTAAATTTTATTTAAAAATGTATTCCTCTGTAATCTTTTTATCAGTAGTTAAGATTTATTATTTATTTTATGATAAATAATTCATCAATAAAGCTTCAAACGTGCGCTAATATTTTTTTCGACACTTCGTGCGTAAATTACGTCTTTCCCGTACGCTTAGCAAAAAACGAGTGTTGTCAATCGTACTTTCCACACGTCGTATCGAAAAATACGGTACGACACATGTTCGGAAAAGAGTTTCTCGTCTCGTGTGCTTTTCTACCCACGGTTCGCTCGGGTGTAAATGCCATCCGAGACGAGAATCTCTTTTCTGTAATATTCATCAATTTTAATTTTTTAAATACCAACTGTGTTTCTCTTAGGCAAACCATTAAAGAGAAGATGAGATAAGTTTTTTTCGTTTACAATATGTATTTCAGTTAGCTATAGATTGGTATGGAGGGTCTTAAATATAATATAATAATGCCCGCTTGAATGAAACTATTTAGATGATAGGCAAACATAATGCAAATTGATTCAAATTAAAATATTCCGAAGTAAGAGAATAGCAAATCAATCATGAGTAAGTATATATATTACGTAGAAATGACGAATGGCTGGGCAAATCGATACGAAGTATGGATATATATTGGAATGTGGTCGATATTAAAAGTTGTGAAGAGGAGAGCGGTACTTTAGGGGTAACGGTGTTTGCTGTAAAAAAGTAAATTGCGTGGCTAAGCTCGCGTGCTCATCTTGTATTATGTCACATGTGCGGTATAAGTACTTTCGTGCTTACATGACGATTAGCCTGTAGATTAGCGAGGGAAGCTAGTAGAGAAGAAAGTTCAAGCCCCCTATATTTACTTTTTTTTCTCTTTCACTCTCGGTATACCTCGACTCTCGGCTTACTGCTTGTGTAACGTCACTTTTTTCTTCATTCTTGCTGTCTACTTCTTTACAAGATTACGTCATTGAGATCTCGTGGTTGCCCCTACAACTACACACGAATAAACTCTGAGAAAAAAGCTTGTTCGTTTGATTCCATTAAAATCCATCTTTGCTCCGTGAGCCATTTTTTATCGTGCATTACCGGTTAAACACAGAAAATTAAAGAAGAATTTTTTAAAGCATACAAGTTTAGATTTAATATTAGTTTCATTTTTTCCAAGAAATTTTTCATATCAGCTACTATATTGCATTTATGACAGTCTAGATATTAATAGACCAAACAAAATTAATGAAAATCTGATCGATTTGCTACTCAATTGTTTACAAGTAAATTTTATCAAATAAATCAAATTCTATTCGTTTCGTATCTCAATTTTTGCCAGCTTTAAAACGAAAATTCTGCATTAGACATGAATTTTTTTTAATGTATATTTGCGCATATTTCTGAATGGGATGGGATTTATTTGAAAGGGTACACTAGCAAAAAAGTTCCGTTTTATTATAAAATTGAAGCATAATATTGCGAAAATTAAAATATGAGAGTTCGTCATTTAATCATAAATTACAAAAGTTATTCGGTCTTACAAGCTACAATAAAAATATCTGACAATGAATGGAATTCTTTTGATTGTCTGAATTTTTAGAACGAGCTCGTAAGACTGAATGATAATTGTAATTCATAACTTTGCGAGTTATTACAAAAAATGAACTTAAAGTCGACTATTTTCGAAAAAGTTAATCTTGCGTTACTCGTTACTTACAAATAGACGTTTTACTATCTGTTAGAGTATTATCACGCAATCGTTCGGAAGTTATTTAAAAATTATTGATAGAATTGAAAAATAGCATTGCCAACTACTTTTCCAATTCGTCTTGTAATATGTTTGTGTCGATCAATTAACTACCCCTCTGGGCTTAGGAATAAATAGTGTTAATATAAAAGCAACTGAAAAACAAAAGAATTAATTTATTTTTATGCAAAATAAAGAAAAAAATTTGTGTATTTAATTTGAAATTTACCTGCGACTAAAGATGATATACTCAACAGAGCAACAATACATCCATATTGGAGAAAAACCGGAAATAATATATTTCCGATTAAAGAGCCAATACGTCCAGTCATCATTGTTAGACTTACAGCCATAGTTCTACAAAAAATATATCGTAATTATTTTTTTATTTCTTCAAATTGAATTGCTTTACTACTTTAATTTTTTGTACACCTCATCGTTGTTGGGAATAGCGTAACGGTTACACTTGAACACAACTGCACTGTGGCGCTCAAACAGCCAACGAAAAGACTCATAAAAAATAAAGTTAAGATTGCATTTTTCGACCAAATTAAAGATATGGTAGAGCATGTAGCCACGAAGTAGCAGATCACTGCAAAAATGCAAGGTGTTGTGCGAACCATCCATCAAAAGCGTATTAAAGTTGAAGACACTTACGTAAAAGGTACTTATTTCTCTTCACACTGACAAGTGTTCCGGCCAGAAATGTAAAGAAAAGAGATGCAGACGAAATTATCATCGTGTTGGTGTAGACTGAATTTTCAACAATTTTCTGTGAATGCATAACATGTTTCGCTATACTTCAGTAATCAGGATACTATATACTCGTATTAGTGACATCTCGGCAGAACTGGCTAAGTCTCTATTTTGTTCAAAGTCAGTTAAGACTAGATTCTTATTGTTAAGTTAACTTTTTTTAAGGTATCGAAAAATATAAGTTTAATCAAAAGCCTTAAATCTCATGATAAAATATCAGTTATCCGGCTTTTGTTCTGTTACTATGTTCAAAGTTTGTCGTCAAGTTACTTTGAAAATAGACCTAGAATCTATAAATCACGAGGTATAATAACATAATAATGTATAATAACGATGTGATTCGAAAAGTCGTTTTCAGCGTACAATGCTGAGTCATGTTCTACTCTGAATATCCTTGTGAAATATCTCAATCAAGTACAGGAAAGAAAGGCGTTGAAATCGGTAAACTTAGCATAGCCATATAATTTAGTTTTCAAATAAAAAATATCAATCTATACAACGTTATAAAAAAGAATTGAATATACTGTTGAAAAGCATCTCAAACATAGCTAATTGTAACTAATTATCAATAGCCAAATGTATTTTGACGATATTTTGAAAAATTGCATTTAAATTTAAACTTGAAGATTTCAATATCACAAAAAATTAACTTGACTATTTCTGCTGGGATGCCATTGATATTCAACTAATTTTACCCGAATACATGTCGGACTTTCTGTAACATTAAGGGCGATATTTGATACATTATCCTGGATATGTGAAAGTATAGACTGATCAATAATTTGACAGAATGCTACGTCGGTTCGATTCGTTTGATTGTTTTGATTGGATTCTGCCATTATTGCAAATAATTGTGGTTGCCACAGACGCAGAGTGTTAGTACTGAAATATAAACAATGATACAAATATCCCTTCAACTAGATTTATATGCATCGTAACTCTAAATACTTCTTCTTTTCTTTTATTCAATATTTTTCTATTTTTCATTTAACATAAAAGTTATAATTATATATATTATAATATAAAGGATATAAGTTAGAAGCCATTCTTAACACCGTTAGATAGATAATTACCTTTAAGCGTACATAAGTTTTGAACAATCGGAGTAAAAACATTCTCGTGAATTGGATGATACGAGGGATTAATATTTATAAAAAGTATGATTTTTTAATTAACATGTAAAAATAGACTAAATGACCAACCTTAACATGCCACCAAATTGAATAGTGAGTACTAATAACAACCTAAGGAAGTATGATCCTAAGAACAATGGTTTCATCTGTAAGAGGCCATCATGGATAGAAGCTTTCAAATCTTTGTTTTGGACGCTCACTCTGTTGTTTGAATCAGAAGTAGTCGTGACCTCATCCGCCAACTCTTTTATCTAACAAAAATAACATAATTTTTTCGTTAATGGAATAAAAATAATGCAATACCTTTGGCAAAATTTAATAAGAAAATAAGTAGTTATATATCAGTTATAACCAAAGATAACTGCTAATTTGAACAGAGTACGTATAAATTATTTATATGGGTGTGACTGTGAATGTATGTATGTGTGTGTATGTGTGAGTGGGCGTATGCTGATGCAAAGGAACGTAAAATTTGACGGCATTGCGATCGTAATCAAGTAGTCGGTAGGGTTGATGGCGAGTTGTGTATCATTCATTGTTTTAATTTGCCCTTGAGCATTGCGCTGTCACTCTAATCATATAATTAATAAATTTTAACTTTAAATATCAAGTGATATCTAAAATTTATTCGCTCACCCTTATATTATACATACTTTGCTTATGATTTTCAAAATGGTCGTCCATCTATAATTATTTTATTTTATGTAATTTATTCTTATATATATATATATATGTGTGTGTGTGTATATATAAAAGTTTATAAAATGAAGATCGCGGTTGGTTATTGACTTAATAATTTCACTTGTTTCTACGTAGTAATTATTAATCCAAACCACGACAACAAATATTTATATAAATTTTGGTTAAAATTATAAAAAGGCTTTAAAAACTAGCTGGTAACTTGTTAGTATTACTTACTGGATACGAATGAGACGATTTACCCGTATTGATTGCGTAAATTGTTTGAAAAACTTCAAGAGCCTCTTGATTACGACCCTGGCTCATTAAAAACTTTGGGCTTTCTGGAAAAAAGCCAATACATAATGATCCAAAAAGAACAGGCAGACCACAAATCATTAGATAGATTTGCCAAGCGTGAACTTCATAATTCATTATAGCGAACGACCAATTCTGTGGTATGATCGCCAGCCCTATAGCTATAAGCATCAAATTTTTAAGTGTTTTATATTTGAATTACGTATTTCAATAAATGCTTACCTGGGCTGGCAATGCTACCCATTGTAAGGAAAAATCCAATAAGCATTGTTACTCTCGGCCTCTCTTTGGTACAATGAAATTCAGCGCAATATGTCAAGACAGAAGCGTATGGCCCACTGACACTATAATAAGAATGTTGATTTTTTTTAGCTTTTCAAAATAAATAGTAACATAGACTATCGGAGCATTTTAACTTTAGATAGATCTTGGCACTATCGTCAAAGTAGATCTTCAACTTGGAATTTGCAATAGTCAGTTGGAAATTGCCGGAAACTTGGACCTTGATCCAAAATTTTAGCAACAATGGACAAGACGAAGCCACGTAAAATTGAAATTTTTAAGACTTAAATATATTTATTAATGGTTGAATGCTATTTTTAAATAAATTTATAAATCAGTGTACATACTGATGAGCTCTTCATTGCATTACTTGTAGCATACTTAAATTAAGCATTTACAAATGGCTTTAATTTTAATTATTTTATATTAATACTCATATCATTTTTAAAATTGCATTGCCTAAGTAAGTATAAATCTGACCAGGAAAAGCATATATTTATATAATTCTAAGGATTATAATACTAGTTTATTTAGAAAAAAAAACTTATGTATATTTTTTTATAATACCTACATTCAAATAGAAACAACTTTAAAAAGCGTCTTTATGATTATGACATAACATTGTTTTACTTTTGCTATTATACCTACATATTATGTAATGTAATATCGTATACAAAATATTATTAAACTATATTTATTAAATTAATAATTAGTACTCAAAATCAAATGAAACGTAATTCAATACTTAACATTACAATCTTAATAGTAATACCCTATTTGAACAATAACTAATAAAGAATAAACTTCAATTATTGATGACTTCGTCCAGACAACTTTTACTGATAGTTATGGTATGCATGAAGCCTAAGCTTTCATTGATTTCTAACTATCCATTGTAAGTTTCCTAGATTTTATATGTAGGGCATAAACAATTTTTGCCAGAAGTGTCAGGATTTATCTAAAATAGGAAATTGTCGGTAACATATATAGTACAATAAATTTTAATAATATTACAGATACACAACTTACACAAAGCCAGTAATGAATTTGAAAAATGCCAGGACTAGAAAATTTGATGAAAAGCCGCTCATAATATTCAATATTGAATCAAGGAGGTAACCATAAAAAACTATGGGTTTTCTCCCAAACGAATCTGCTACAAATCCCCATAATAAAGCACTGCTAACCATTCCTTGAACAAATGAATTCTAATATGTTTTTGACAATGTGCAAATTCTCATTGTTATTATTAATTATTAATAGCTAGCGTTTATCAAAACAAAAAAGAATAAATTAAGTCGGTTTTGGATTCACATATTTAACTTTACGTTCCCAATTCTATAACATCTGACAATTACGATTTTTATCAAAATTCTTTTCGCAATTGAATCATAAAATTTTAATATAATGTTACTAAAATCACGTATTGTAACACAACTAAATGCCATAATTATCTTTTTATGCATTTTTCGGTTCGAAAAAGCAGTGTAGAATACAAATCAACATTTTAATTTTCTAGTATAGTAAGTGTAGTTCTTTCCTACATCAGGATGCCACGGTGGGCACTTTATATTGTTTTTTATATGATAGTTATCAGACGAAGCTTCGGATAATCATAAATTACTACAACAGATTAAGAATTAAATACCTGCATAAACAATTGCATTTAAAACGCCTTTTTGATAAAGATTGAGATTTAAGTCGCATTCTGCAGATGGTAATATCATAGAAACTGCAGTTGTATCAAAACCAGATGCCCACGAAGCAGGAATTATAGCCAGATATAAGAGATAGTGAAATTTTCCGTAACCAGTAGCCGCCACGGCTTCTTCAAAGTTTGCTTTCTTGGGAGGAGTATTTGTTGTTTCAGGTGCTCCGTTGCGTAAATTCACGATATTTATTAGGTTAGTTAAAATGCAATAAGATTGCAAAGATTATAAATAAAATACAGTGAGTCTAAAATTTTTAACTAAATTAACGAATTGATAGTAACTCAAAACTATCGATTGAATTAGTTAAGAAAAACGTGTAATATCACTTAAATAAAATAATGTATCATGATTGATGAATGGATATAGTTGCGGATCTTAGACAACTTACTCATTTTGCTCGAATCGTGGTGAGTTACGTCGGCTGGTAGTTGATCAGACGTTTCCATTTTGACTAACAGCTGTAGCTTAAATGCGCCATAAAAGCTTGGATCGTTAGTATATATTCAGATGTATGATGATCGCTATCACGCGAAAAGTCGATGACGAAGATATTTTGTAGCCAGAGCCGTAACGCTTATGGATGCCAACTTTGTCACTATACACTATAAACTGATTTCGTCTTCGAGCATCCTCAACAGTTCCATTCTAGATTGTACGACGCACGCATGTCAACATCGTTATCGTAAAATCGGAATATTTAAAATCCAAATAATCATGTTACTCGTACCAACTTCAGCATTGTAACGCTTATTTTTATTCCTTCTCGACTCTATAAGTTACATAATATTGTAATATTTATCCAAAAGTTCGTATAGTTTTTAGTAAATTTTTATTAAATGTAAAAATCATAAACGAAATTATTTTTTCAATTTACTCAAAAGCTGTAGTTGCAAATAAAAAATTATACGAATTAGTACTCTGACTGATAAGTATACACTAATAAAATGCTAAATTCAGTATTTAAAAAAATTTTCGACATTTAATTTTAAAATTTAGTTTAAAAATTTCAACATTTTCCACACTGGGATAGTTTCATTTCAAGAGACCACGCCGTATACGTGTAATGTTCTACCGATATATTACAAGTCAATGTAACTTATATAAATTAATGCAACAAGAAAATTATTGTAAATAAGTATTATGAAATACATAGATACTCTACTTTAGAAATAATATACAAGTACTTAAATAAGTCAAAAGTTATAAAATGCAAAAATTTTTTTTTACTATATTTAACGCTTGTGATTGTAAGTTGTTATCGGTTTAATTGCTTTGTTATATTAGTTTTAAATTATAATATAATGTTACTATTATTTCTACAGATTTTTTTTAAATGATGCGTGGTTACATGTTAATTTTCGAATTTCAAATCACATTAAGTTTGAATAGAAACTGTGGTCGATATCTAAATGTAATAGTACGTTTTTATTATTCGTTAGTAACTGATATACGAATTTTGAAATATTCGACAATATTTTCTAGGAAAAACTTATACATTCTAAGCATTGGTTTAAAAATGGTTACAATATAAGTCTTACATAAGATGACAGCACTGAAAATAGCAGTTATATGCATTTTCAAAGTATATAATAAATGGAATATAAAACCGAATTATGCGCTGTATAAATTTACGAAGTTAGAAAAGCTTTATCCTTAAAGTAACTTTACTAAATTATACCAACCGGTAACTTTTCATTATCAGTAGATTCTAGTATACTATAATATATAGTAAATACTATGATACGTAGTAATAAATAAATAGTAAAATAGTCGCCTAATTAAATTTATTTTATGTGCATTAACGACTGTCAAGCCACCTCTTGTGACCTAACTCACAAGTACTATTCGTTTACGTTCACTATCTATCGATATTTGCTTATTTGCTAAAGTGACAAGTGGAACTCCGTAACAATTGTAATTCGCATATTAATGAAGGTACCATTATGATATCGTATAACTGGTAATGTTGTCTATAATAAAATTATGATCTTAATCTTCAATATCTTATCAGTTTTGAAAACTTCTTAACTCTTTTCATATACACAACAAGGAATAATACTTCGGTGGGATACTATGCTTTTATTTGATTTTACACAGTTGTATGAAAATAATTAATTTTTGCAACTGACGTTCTAATTGAAATTACCTGTAGGCATCGTAATTCGAAACTTTTTTTTATTCTACATATTGAAGAAATTACTGTTTTTGTAATTTAAAAGATTATAAGTTAAATTTATTGTTTTTCTTCTAGAATATATAATTACTTATAACTATAAGTCGCATATCAAGGAAATCATCATCAATAAAAATATTTTAAGAGTTTTCAAACAATATCAGTGATGGTTTTTAAGAAATTGAATTCCTAGAAGATTTAATAATATCAGTACTTGAATTTATGTATGCTTCTCTAAAATTTCAATACCTTAACTTATATAAGATATAAAATAAAAAAAATAAAATTTAGATTATAATATAATCTTCTGAATTACTTAACGCTCAATACAAACTGTAATACATAACAAATCAGGGAAATATAAAAAAAATACAAAGAAAAATACACAAATACTGTTTATAACTGATCCCTACTTTCATAATAAACCAATGAAAAATAACAAAGATCAGATTAGATTTGTTTGTTCTTTTTTTCCTTGAATTTATTTTAAATGAACATAAACCATTTACAAATTTATAAATTCATTAATTTACTAATTTAAGGTTATAAATACAAAATTTTCAAAGTTTTTAAATATTATCACCTTTGAATTTCTATACACTTAATCTTCTAGTCATTAAAATTCCCATTAAATAAAAATCAATCTCTTGTTACAGTAAGTGGCATAGATATGTATTTATGAGAAAAGAACTTACTTCTTGGAAATCCAATTTTGACATATGAAATTAAATTAAGAAATACTTGTAACGGTTTAAATATTATACCAAAAATTTTGAACGAATTGAAACTTTCGAACAAAATAATTTTTTAATGGAAGAATTTGATTTCAGTTGTACATTAGACCAAATTCTCAAACGTGCATATTTTCATTTTTAATAAAGAACTCCTTATTAGGTAATAAAAATCTTTTCTTAATAGTTAGTTTTTTGTAACAGAATATGAACTAAAAAATATTGGCGCATTATTTTTTGTGACATAAATGTAGCATTGCTCTTATTTCTTAAATTATAATATATACACGGCATATCGCATGTGCTTTCTCATATCCTTGAATCACTTACAAGTTGGATTTCACTTGCATTGTATAAATGTCACTGCACCACACTTCCTTGTCCAACAAAGCGATACACTTTTATTTTACAATATCCTTGTTCTTCGGAATGAATATTATCAGAATTATTGAGACTGCAAAACAAAAACATTACGTTAACTTATAAATGTGTGTGTAGAAAAATGACTTTTTTCTACACACAGAAAAATGAAATAACTAATAAATGATTTTATAACGCTATAAAACAGTGTAATGTCAAAGATTATATTCTAAAACAGGAAGTTCAAAATAAGGAAATAATTATTCACTTCGTTTCCGAGCTGCGCATAGATAGGAAAGAATTTTATTCTTAGCGAATTAATTGTAGCATTTTGTCAAAATAAAGGAGATCCGGCATATATAATTACACGTAAATAAATACACAAATAATACGTTAACCCATGTTTTCATATATTTTCTTTCAAAAAGATACTTGGTCTGATTTGCAAGTACTTCGTTTGATTTTTCAACGTCTAGTAATAAAAATTTAGATTTCATTAAAATAGAATTATAATGAATATTTTCTAACATGAAATTTGATACGAATAAATTATTGAAAAAATAGTTTAGTTTTGTTTTAGGGAAATATAGAATACTGCTTTAAAAATTACTTTGTACGTTGCAAATTCAGTGATACCACAAAGAAAATAAAAGCTTTTGCTTCTTCTATATGAATTGAAATTGACACTATAATTGACGTTATATGTATATACCTATTAAAATGATAGCAAGTGACAGAATCGCAGTAAAACAGCCTGAGTCGAGTAATACTGGAAACAAGACATTGCCTAAAAGAGCTCCGATGCGCCCTACCATCATTGCCAAGCTTACGGCCATAGTCCTAAATAAAAACGTAATTATAGAGTTCATTTGTTTTTTAGCATGACTCATTTTTACATGATAGAATTATTTTATTATTTATTATTTATAGAAAATTATCAAAATATTACTATTTAGAAATAACTTGGAATTTTTTACATTTTGGAATAGGATGTAAACTGATACTTCATTATACGTATGATCTAATGAAATAATAGTTTACCTGAGTGATGTAGGAAATAAGTCAACGCACATGCTAATGACTAGAGTGCACGTGGTACACATCAAACCAACAAAAAGGCAAGTCAAACTTATTATAAAAGTATAATAGCTCGCCCAATGTAATACCAATACTGCACATGTTGATATAGAGAAACAGGAATCTAAAAATTACAATAAAGTAAAATAATGGAAGGAATTTTTTCGACATCACTTTATTGATCTATCCTACATTGTTACGCTGCACGAGATACATGAAATATGATATTAAATTAACGAAGGTTGCCAAAGAAAGAGCATACTTCACTAATAGCATACCCATTATTAGGCTTATGTGAAAGCTCGAAAAGTCCTAATACCCCGAATTTTCGAGCTTCCAAGCTAGCCGGAGCTTTTAAGTTTCCAAGACAGCTTTTGAACTTCTGAGTTTTTAAGCTCAAGAAATTTTATAAAATAATTAAAAATTTTAAATTTACATTCACATTCAAAATATTTCATTTTTACTCATCCATTTTTTTTCACTTCAAAACCCGACATAAAAGCTAATTGGTAAAATGTTTCCAGAACTCAAACATGGAATAAATTAATAATTTAAATAATTAAGTATCATACCCAAAAAAACCATTATATATTATTGTACGTAACAAAGATATCGGCATTAACTTAATGTCCATTTATATATCATTTAGTCACATTTGCATAATTATTCGTAATATAATTTATGCCATACTTACACAATAGATTTTTATTTCCCATGCGATTGACAAGTATAGTTGCCAAAAACAGACATATGTTTGTACTTATGGAGACAAATATTGTAAATAAGTAAACACTACCATCAACGGGTTTCTGAAATCACATAAACAACTGTTTGGATAATATTTATTAGACCGCCCCTTAGTAAATGACCCCTTTTTATGCCTCTGATACTGACGAACGTTATTTTTTCAAGTTTATACTTTAATAGTATTATTCGTTGTTGTAAGAAGTTAAGTGATAATTGCTCATTAATACTGGTTTTAATTTATGTATGTAAAGTCATACGCTCGTGTATGATTATAACAATCGATCGGGATAGTTGGTATTTAATTTCTGTTAGTATTGTAATGACAGGATATTGTAATGACTGAACGTTTATCATACTAATTAATAATATTACGTAATGTGGAAATGAAAGTATTGTCATACTTGGATAATGATTTTAATCACTCAAAGCTTATCTGGACACAATCATTATCATCGCTACAGAAACAAACTCATTTTTGGCATAGTTAAAAATGTATTAATACCGATATCGTATAATATTTATATGGAGTTCATGGTAATAATTAACACTACCATAAAATAACATAATTTGAATTGTAATCTGTTGAATTTATATTTGAAATCTAATTATTATGTATCGCTGGTAATTATATCAAGACTTATGCGGGAAACCTAATGTTTTAATAGATTTATTGTTAATCAAGTTTTCATTACTGCGATATCACATGATTCGTCAACTTAATCAAAATCGCATAATTTGTTTTGCAGGGAAAATTTGTTTCAGGCCATATAGTTTTTAAAAAAGTTATTAAGTTAAAAAAGTACTTTTTTCATAAATATAAACTCTAAAACAATATAAAGTGTAAGTTTGCATAATTTACCGTTTCACACTCTTCATAATTTATTAAATCATTTGAGCCATTATATTGTTTGGGCAGATAAGTCGTTGAATTATCGAGAATGTTGCAGAATGTATTATTTAAGTTATCATCAGTACCATTTGAGAAATTATTCAATATGGTAAATAATTGAGGTTGCCACAATCTTAAGGTGTTTGCACTAAAAATATAGTTCGAATTTGATGATATGTACAATTTAAATGTTATTTAATTAACGAAACTTACGAAAGCATTCCTCCTGCTTGTATCAAAACTATTAGTAGTAACCTAACCAAGTATGATCCCATAAATAAAGGTTTCATTTGTAAAAGCCCTTTTTGGATAACAGATTTCAAACTTTCTGAATTTGAATTTCTTTCCACATATTGGCTAGAGCTCAATTCATTTTCCAACGATTTAATCTGAAAAAAAAGAAACAGCTTTTAAGGAATCCATTCAATCCGTAGTGTTATATTTTTACCGGATATTCTTCTTGTGGTACTCCATTATTCATAGAATATATTTTTTTAAGAACCTCCAAAGCTTCATCATTACGACCCTGGCTCATCAAAAACTTGGGGCTTTCAGGAAAAAAGCTCAGTCCGAGTGCCCCAATGAGAATTGGTATACCACACGTCGATAAATACAATCTCCATGAATTGAAAACGAACGTGTTTCCACCGATTGCAACAATCCAACTATGAGGTATAATTGCCCAAGCAAGAACTGAAAAATCAACGTTTTTTATTAAATTTCAATTCAAATGGAAATACTTCAGCCTTAATATTGTAGGAGATGTTGGTGGCATAAAAGTAAATATATTTATTTTGTTTGTTTTGGATTTCGAATGATGCAATGAAATTTATTACTGTGATAATGTAAGCTTTTCCTTGTCGACGTTTTACAAACGTTAATTAAATTAATACAATACCTGCGTTTATGATGCATCCTGCAAAGCAAGTAAAGCCAAGAACTAGCGTAACTCTAGGTCTTGCCCGCATACAATGAAATTCCGCACAGTATGTCATTATTGTAGCGTACGGGCCACTTATACTGAAAATTATGTTGTTTTAAATGTCTTCTAATTATGCACGACAAGCAGGAATACTCACAAAAATCCACTCATGAATTTGAAAAATACAACGGTGGCAAAATTTTGGGATAAACCGCATAATATATTACAAATTCCATCGGCAAGGAGTCCGAACATAAGGATTCGTCGCCTTCCCATTACGTCGGCAACGAAGCCCCACAGCAGAGCACTACTAACCATACCTGTAACCAATTGTATCCATGCATACAATTAATCCTCCAATACATATCAGTGTACAATGACAATTGAAAAACTTAAAATCGAAAGTAAAATCTTATGTTAGAAGCTGCTGTAGCAAGTTTCAGTTATAATAAAGCTACAGTCATGAAATATTTTTTCTTCATGAGAGATCGAAACAAACTTTTATTGCCGTCAGGGTGATAAATTTTAATCACGCACGCTATTTTCAATTTAATCAATAACGAAAAGATCAATTTATATTTGAGTTCGAGTAAAAACCGTAAAGGATCAATGGAGCTTGAAAGGAAATATTTCTATCAAGACCAAAGTTTTACTGAAACGAGAGAGAATATACGTCAAAGTTGAACTTGATCAGGATATCTCAGAAAGTATAGAATAATATTGATTCAGCAGTTAGCCCACATGCGATGGTTTATTGCCTAATCTGAAATTCTTTTAGATTATCTTAAAAAAGTTATCTTAAAACCATCATTTTTAATGTAAATATGAACATTGAACTAATAATAATTAATTAATTAGATTTTTATAAATGTAGAATTCTCGAAAAATAATGATCTATTGAATTCTTAAAGGCCAAATGCCAACAAATAGCATTTATAAAGTAAACAACGTCTAATTTTATAGACAAGAAAATAAAGGATTATCAAAATTCTAAAATTCAAATGACATTCTTAATTGAATATATGTGAAAATCCCCAAAACTTTTCAAATTCTAGTTACTCTATAATAATTATGCTATAATAAGGGCGAATCGAAACTTGAAAACGGTTTTCTGTGGGAATAATGATGACCTAAAATCTCCACTAGTTCTTCATAAATTTTATTGTTTTACAAAAAGAAGTTTTCTATATCTAATATATAAATAAATAGAACGTATTCTACTCCTCAATATCAATCTAACACAATTTTTTTTATTTCTGTGCCTTGTAAATACTCTGAGTGACAGACTTTTGTAGTGAGTATAGTCAGTGAACTCCTCTTGTTAAAAAGAGGCGCTTTTTATTGACACAACAAAAATACATTTCCGATTGATGTATAACCCAAAGCCAATTAATATTTTTTCTTTTTTTTTCACGTTTTGAACGGTACTTAAAAAAGTACTTAGTTGAAAATATTCATATTTTGTATCATAGTATTTGTAATTACTGTATTGTTACTAATAATTTGTTATATTATTATTCATAAAATTTAAAAGATAAATAAACTTCAATTATTGCTTAAAATGATTTGATACATTTTCATTTCAATATCTAACAATCTTAACCTATTAAAAATGACTTTATTTAAAAAATTTTGAGTTTAGGTTAATTATGTAGTTTTACAAGAAAAGGTTTTGAAAAAATCACGAGCTCATATTTTCTAATGCTACTCAAGCCAACAACAAGAGAACAAAAGATTTTAAAAGCTGTGCTTTAAAAAAAATATTTTTTTAAAAACAAATTTCAAAAGTTTAAGGACTTTGTTCATATATGTATCACTTCTATTCTATTTTAATCACAATATTATTTTAATGTTAATTAACAAAATTAATGTGATTTCACGTAAAAATGAACCATTCGTGTATTACTTAAAATTAGAATAAATGATGATATTAACAAGTCAACAAATATTGTCTGTTCTGACAATGCCTTGCCTGCTATTTTGCAAGCCACTTCAAGTCAATACACTCAGATTAACATATAGCGGCCAGTCTTATCACTATATATACTTGAAACTTGATTGAGACAGTAAAAATCTTAAACTATTATGTATTGTTCTGTTGTTGTATTACATATTGTACGCTATATTTTTTTGGTAATCTCGAAAGACTGTAGTCAAATGAATTGTACATTTTGCAATACCGGGACTCTTTAGGCAGATTGAAAAATAATATATAATGTATAAAATGCAATGCATTGATAGATTTATACATATGAGTGTGAGACTTTCTGACTCATGCAAGTTTTACGTATGTAATGATAAGACTGACCAATATGCGTTAACCTTAATGCTCTGACTTGAAGAAATTTGCAAAATAGCAAGCGAAAGATCATTAGTAAAAAACGCTAATTTTCAAGTGGATATGATAGTTATTGATTCTATCAAATAAATAAGAAATATGTTCTTTTTAAATTAATATAAAGAATATGCAAAATAGAAAGTTTTGATTAGGAAAGCCGTAGATACCTGCGTAAGTTATTCCATTGAGAATGCCTTTATGGAATAAACTCAATTCCAAGTCACATTCAGCTGACGGCAAAATCATGGACATATTAGAACTATCCAAAATTGATGCCCATGTCGCGGGGACAGCCGTAAGAAACAGAAGATAGTGAAATTTTCCATAACCGCAAGTAGCAATAGCTGTTTCAAAATCAGCTCCTTTTTCTTCTGAAATGTACGTTATTTCTTTCAGCGTTGTTCAATAGTAACTGACATAGTTGTTGTAAGCGAACAGTAGCGAACAAGCTAGTGCATATAAAGCTTCGATACTCTCATTAGACGCGTTCTTCACATAAATAATGTGTCAAAGTGATAGGCAACGGAGAAGTTAACTGTCTAGAAAACTTGAATTGCCCTCGAATAGAAAAGCAATTTGCTTCCGTACATCGAATGACATACCTTTATTTTTCACCTCAATGGTTTCTAATTGTATCGAAGGCTTTTTTTCAAGATCCATTTTCCCTAGCAAACGCGTTATAATTGAACTGAGAAGCGCGGGAACGCGCGATGTTTCTTTGAGCGAGAGATATGATCCGCGAGATCTGTCGCTTAACTGGCGAAATCAATTATTCTCGTCGTAGAATCTTCATATACCCTTCCCGATCTCTTTGGCGCGCACTCGCTCGCTTCTCGATCCACGACATTCTGCCGACACCACGCGTTCAAATCGAGACTTTTATCACGATGGTTTACTTATACAAATATTAGCCAAACGGAAAAAACACTTCTCTCTCCATCTCTCAATCTTCTTCATCAGTTGCAACTATTCGTTTGAAAACTCGATTGATCTGGCTTTGTCTTTAAATAAGTACGCGCCAATGCTGATCAAGTTTAGACTACACCATGTAAATTGCGCGCAACCAGTGATCTCAATTCTAACGTATTCGTTTTCTTTAACTCAGGGCAGGTGACAAAATAAGATAAACCTACGCAAGAACAATTAATAACTAGTTACGTCATTCACCAGAAATCTCATGTAATATTATTTCCAATCCCGATTCCAAAGTACATCATGCCATATTTTTCAGTAGTCATTCGTACTTGCTGTCCTCTTACTTTATACAACAAGCAATCTTACGATCGTGTCGAATAGTACATAAGTGAGAACATTTAGCTTTTACAAGAGAAGACAAGTAAAGAATACATTACCTATTTATTTCAGCAGCTATATTAATATTTTTATTTATTGAGCTTTCTCTAACAACAATATTTCTTTCTTATCTCTTACATTTTTCAGAAAATAAACTTATTAAAACTTTCAAAGTACAGTTAACAGGATAGTTGTATATTGTAGATAGTCCAACATTCTCGTTCGCAGGATGCCGCTAACACCAGAAAAAAACTTTCATTTCTTCGGTCAACAAAGTAAATGAGAAAGATTCCTGAAGAGCTACGTACCACAACAAACGACCATCGCAATTCGGCAGAAATTCCAAAATATTGAAAAAAGTGTATTAATTAATTGAGATGGTTGATAACTTGAATTATTAAAACTTCATATAAAGGTACACGTTGATTGGTCTAGACACCAACTAATTAGTCTATACTGATAAAATCATCGTCTAGTTTGGAAAAAAATCGATTTACCTTACTTAAAACTACACGATTTTATTAATTATTTCATTTTAACTAAGATGATCTTATTGTCGTGACGACGTGAAAAAACAGGAAGATTTGAAAATTCAAATTCGTAATAACTTGACTGTGGTTAATAATTCATAATCTTCATTTGGATTAGCTCATACGAGGATAGGTGTCCCGGTTGTCAAATAATACCTTGAAATCATTTAGTACCAGGCTATTCTCGCAAAATATCAAATGCTCAATTTGTCAATATCTTTTGAAGTAATCAAGTAAAGCGCAACGTATCTCACCTAAAGGTGAATCAGATGCATAGGGACAAAAACTTGAAATGAATATAAGCGCATATTTGGAATATTCTCTTAAATCACAATTCTCTTAAATCAAGATTCTCTTAAATCACAATTCTCTTAAATCACTTTTCTCTTAAATCACATTAATAACAAGCAAAAGATAAGACTTGTTAGAACGTAGTTTCAAACAATACCTCAGATATTTCCAGAGCTTTTCTTTATTACGAATGCCCTTGTCTTTGTACATCCAGGCTACTGTAAAATTCCAGAAACGAAGATTCACCATCGACACCGACTGGCAACAATACCTTTTAATTATCAAATGCTCAATGCATATTGAATAAAGATATTTCAAGTGTCGCATTCTTTGATGATTTAGATTGCAAAAGTAGATTTGTTAAAAAAACTTTTAGCCAGTGTAAATTACATTCTGGAAGGTTGTCTGGAACTCTGTCAATTATTTCAAAGTGCAATCTAGTTTAGAAAATTCAAAATGTTGATCATTCCTGCGTTGCATCCAAAAGATTTCGAATGACAAAAAGTATTTGTTAGAATATTTGTAGGAAATTGGAAATAATTTCACGGTATCATCATGACTGATACTTGCTTAAACAGCGTTTCTTGTTTCTTCTTGATTTTTTAAACTGAGCGCTTAAATAACCTTGTTTAAAACCAAGGAAATCTGTTCTAGTGAAACCAAGGTCAATGTTGCGTACTAATTAATTCACATAGAAATCATTGAATGTCATTTTGAAGCACACAAATGGCATTGTTTTTCTTACGTTTCAATTAGATATAATTTGTGATTTATGACTGCTCTCTACGACGTATCAAGCTTGAATTCTGTTTAAATGAAGCAAATGCCGTTATATATTGAGTACATTGAACTAACATCGCTACTCTCTGGCGTCTACCAACGAAAACTCACGCCATTTGACTCGATAGCCGATAGGCGGCCTCTATTAAAAATTAAATGGTATAACTCAGACTTTGTTCACCGCAAATAATATCTTACAACAGTCTGGATCTACTTTCGCTTCATTCTGTTATCTGTATCACAATGTGATGTCTTCAATTTTGACTTTATATATTTACTTAGAAGCTCGCAGCGATATTTGTGTTTAAGTGACAAACCAAGACAAAAACAGAATTGCTAAAGAAACGTAGGGAAACACTGAACAAGAATAGCTATATTTGAGTAATTCGATTTTCCAATGCATTGCTTCATCGTCATCTTTTTTATTGTTTTTTTCATCTCATTCCACTTATTTATCATCAAACACCTGATCAAATAATTTTGATCAAATTTTGTCGAGCGATGATTCTAATACAATCGTCATTTCAAAACTGTCTAGTGAATCAAAACAAGGAATTTAAATTTAATTGAATATGAAATGCTAGGAATATAAGACAGATTATAAAAAAGAATCGAAAATCCTACCCTAGGACCATTTGCTACTATTTGAACGTTTACAAGATTGGTAAAGCAAACACTTTCTGCCTTTTCTCATTCGAGAAAAAAAGCACTCTAGACTCGAAAAACTATCGGGTACAGATCTGGTCCTAATTATGTTTACATTGAATGGGCATAAGTCGCATGCGTACCACTGCAATTTTCCATTCTACGTTTACATTGAAATATTGTAGAAATACTCAGATGGAATTTCATAAAATCGTAAATTACCGTAAATCGATTAAAAAAATGTGACGATTGTTTACTGACTAACTGTCTCGCCAGGCTTTCTCAACATTGTCTCTGCTAACATATTATGAATTGCAATAAACCGCAAGTTCATTTGATTACTTTTCAAGATAATATTCAAAAGTAAGTACGCTATCACAGTATGAAACAATCAAACTAATGAACATGAAAGATTATTCTGACGACTATCGCAGACGTCATCTTCGTTAATCTGGTTCAAAGGAAATTACGGACTACTGAGCTAGTCTTGAATGAAATTTTTATCTTCCCCATCCATCTGGTACGTAATACACTGCGCTTACTTTACATAAAATGTCGTACTATGATCACATTTTTTATTATATATATATATATATATATATATATATATATATATATATATATATATATATATATATATCATTTAAATAAAACTGCGTTCAACTTACTTACGTCAAAGTTTTAAGCAAATACCTCATATTAGGATTTATGAAGTTTATTAATGAAATTTGAAATAACAACTTTGATTTATAGGTAAAGTCTAATGTTTTTGATTAATCGTTTTTCTTTAATCTGTTAAAGATTCCATTTGCAGAAAAATGTCCATACAGTAGTTATACAAAACTGGGGAAACTAATGATATTCCTGTGAAATACAAGCAGTGATAAGGCCCTCAATACGAAATAAAGATTAAATTTAATATAAATGACTCAAATAAATCAGTTAATGCGCATTTTTTGTTTAAAACAAAGTGTATTGATTTAAAAATTGAAAAATTTGAAAGAGTAGAATTTGTAGGGCTAGCGCATATAGTAGGACGACTAGAAACTGAAACATGACGCAAAACCGACGATGTCGGTACCCATGTCGGTCGGTACTGAATGCCGAGGATATAGTCTTCAGTAGAAAAGGTCGTGCTCTGGTGGATCAAAATCTGTTTTACCAGTAGTAGCATTGGATCGTTATTATCAAATATAGACGTTGAATCGGTTGAATCTTCGTCTACGACGAGAGGGCGTAACTAGGTAGAGCCTGGGATTCCTACCACAGGATGGCATCAAGAGCTACTGGAAAATGGCGTCCGGTCAATAGCAATCTGCACCCTCCATCGAAAGATAACTTACACCATACGGACCTATATACATATGCGTATATTACCCGTGATCGTGTATGTTCATACAAGGGGAAAAGAAAAACGGAGCGATATTCGTATTGGTGTGAGTGTGTATTTTACAGGCAAGCAAGGAGAGGACCGAGGAGAACATTCACAGTGGCTCTTTGTCGTACGCACCGTGGAGGATAGACACGTACGCAGACGCGCGAATCGGAGATAAGAATGCATCGACGGCGACGGCGGTGACGTACGCTGGCGTGACGTGTGTTGGTACTCGCCAGCAGCGTGTCTGCGTAAGAGAGACTGTACGGGCGCTGATTAGTAGGCCGGACTGTTCGTCCACTGCCGTCCCGCAGCGTGGAATCTGGCTGAAAGAGAAAGAAAGAACGGGACAACGGCGCCTTGGGCGTACGGCTAACGGGTTAAGCCGAATCTTGCAACTCGACATCGTTGTCACCACCCGTGGCTGTGAGCCCGTTGCTGTCTTCGCCTCTCCTGCACGCACCGACTCCAGTCTGCAATTCCACAGTGGCTCTAGCCTCACAGTAGTGCTCGCTATTGCCCGTTGTGCGCGTGTGCATGACGTAGCTATCATCGTGGAAGCGGCGAGGGAGCAGATGTTGCTGCTCGGTAGTGCCAAGAGTAAGCGACACTAGACAAAGTAGTGCTGCGGTCGGCGTGCAGGATGCACGAGGGGCTGGCGGCCTTGCGGGGCCGCGCGCGGCGAATTAGCTGTCAAGCGCGCAGCTTCTGCAGCCGATAGGTCGTCTACCGCGATCACGTCGATGCATCGAGACCCGGCTTGACACTAGCTGCTGCCCGCCGAGCAGAGGATCATCGCAGGGCAGTGCAGCGGCTGTGTGTATCTTCGTGCTAGTGCTAGTGCGGGCTCGCGTGGGTGGGCGACTACTGCTGTTGTAACGGCGGCAATTGACGACTAGGCGACCGGGCGAATCGACCAAGGCGTCAGAATGTCGTCCGGAGGTCCGCGGGTGCAACTCCAACTGGACAGTGACGACGAGTTCCCGTCTCGGCGAATGAAGCCTGGCAGTAATATGGGCAATGACGTCGACGAGATCGAGGTAATGGAGTCGAGCCTCACTGTCCCGGGCCCGGCCAACTCCACGGAGGACCATGGTCACGACGATTCCACCGACGAAGACCGTAAGTCGCCTTTCATTATGCACGCCTACTGCACCGTACACCCCCTTCCACTTCTTCGCCTATATTTCCGAGCAGCTCCACTAGCCGCTACTTATTTTAACGTCATTCGCTCCGTTACGGGGCTTCCCTTTCGATCCCTTTAAAAGTGTCTACCTCTACAAACATAACCTCCAGATACCCGTGCACACACCATACCTATACGAACGCGTATCCCTCGCCGTCTCGTCTCGGCCGTCGCCTTTCCCCGCAACAATTCACTAGAGTGTCTCCTTTTTCGCACTTAATCGATTCTTTTTGCTTTTGGGTTACCGCAACTTGATTCTTCCACTGACGAATGCGCCTTATAATTTCAACTAATTAATTCATCATGTTTTTACAGCTGTTTATTTATTTATTTACGGTTTGTTTTGTTTTTAATCAGTTGACACTGCAAAAGGAATTTTATAATTAGACTTATTGTTCGCACTTACCTGCACATGCATATACCTGTACAATAACTTTCTCATCGCTCGTGTCACCGCCGGAAATTCTATTTCGACATATTAGAAACTTACAACGAAAAGACTCATAATGATTGCGTATATAAGATGCACGATCGGCGCTTGACTAAAGAAGATCTTAATCAGCATAACCGTGAGATAATCCGAAATATACATTTGAAGGCTTTTACTTTGACGTCATGCTTCGAGCCAACACTCATGAATCAAGGAATGAAAGCGACCGTGCGTGGCGGCTTCGAGGCCTTTTCACAGTTGATGAGTCAAGTAGTCTTCAGAATAAATCCTAAAAAAATATATCAATTTACCTTCTCTGCTATAGCAAATGTCATTTAGTAAATTGTCTTTGTAAGCTCACTAAAAGCAACTACAATAAGTAACATTTAAAAAAAGAAAAAACCACTGTTCATTGAAATTTACAAGTATGCAATGATTCAGTATATCTTTTGATGTTATTTCAGATAAATCCATGGCTGGGGATCCACTCACAGGTTATGATGTAAGTGAACATTTGCATATGATTCTGTTATAATCAAAACATTGTTACATGTACCAAGCACTCTTTTTATACATAGTTAGGAAGACTGTACATTTTCAATGAATTTTTATAATCTAGTAAAATATTTGATTGCAGATAAGAAGTTAGACAAATGCTTTTTGTACCATTCACTTCAAATGCAATTAATGTTTTCAGGGCTTACATAGTTATGTTTTTAATATTTTTAATAAAATAATATAATTTAATAAATATAATTTAATAGAAATATCAGATATTTACCAGTAAGTTATTGCTATTTTATCACTCAATATGATTTTAACTTTATCATATTTTCACATTCAACAGTCAACTGTCAGAATGATTTTATCTTTAGAACACATCTCATTGATGATTCATTAGAAAATCCTAAACACTTGCATATTCAAAAGATAATAACCTTCATCCATATAATATGCATAAACAATTTTTCTTAACAAAAACAGCTGACTCTAAACTATGTCAGCCCAAAGACCTTCCAATGAAAACTGTAAGTGCAGTCTTAGGCCATTGTCATATTCAAGGTCTCTTGTTCCACTTTCTACTTTATAATCTATGTGTGTGTATATATATATATAAACACACACGCGCGCGCACACACACACGCACACACACATAAAACAGTGCTTTTGTTTTGTTTTATTAATATACAAATATACAAATAAAATACTTAAAGTATCATTTAATGAATAGTGATATAGCAAGATATTTATTATTATTATTATTATTATTAAAAGAAATTGAAAGTAACTCTTTTATTTTATTTAAACACAATATTATCCATTGCTAAATTTTATATAACTTTTTTGTAGACAAACATTAAACAAACTAACACTAACTAATAAATTTATTTTATTAAATTGAATAAATGACATTTAAAAATTACTTCATGTAAAAGTATGCAAGTTTATGTTTAACAAGAAACAATTGTAATACAAAATGAAAATAGTAACTTCATATATGATTAAAATGTGCATTGTAGAAGGTTCTTTTTTTAAACAATTCAAAATCCAATTGTGAATGATCACAATAGCAGAAATTATATAAAATAATATTCATATTTAATGTTTATTTTCATTTATTTTTAATATCCTGTATACCATAAATAATAAAGGTTAGAAATAAGCCCTAAAGTTAACAAACAGTTAATACCTTTCTCTTTTGATAAATTTTGGAACTTCAAACTTTTATTAAATATTACAGAAAAAAATGTACTGTTCATTGCCTGAAAAATTATCTTCCGCTGTAAAGGTAATTGTATTGAAGACAAGTGAATTTGTGATTAATGCATTTTTTGAGTTGATAGTTGAATTTATAACATAGATAGCAATTGCTGTGTACAGTTTGACTTCTTAGCTGCAACACAACTAGAAACGTTGAAATATATTCATAGAATACATAAAGAATTTTTATGATACAGAGTACAACTGCTCAATATGGCAGTGGAGGTCCTAGAACATCATCTGGTGTTTCAAGAAACAAATCGGAAAAGGAAAGAAAAATTGGACATCGAAGAGTGGGAGTTGGAGGAGAAATCACATACAAAAAGGTATGTATGTGATATATGTATAAAGGGTGCTATTGACTATTTAATAAGTTCAAAGTATTGTGTTGGATATCACTTATGTATAGAATCACATATTAAATGTTACATTCAGTTAAATAACTTAACTTCAGTCAATGAATTCATTTTAATTAAATATCATTTTAACTTCAAATTTATACATCAATAAATGAAAATCTTTTATAACTAGTTAATATAATTTTTTTAAAACATTTAAAGAAAAAGTTATTTTTAAATTTGAGGTTGATAATTACAATTGACTTTAGCAGCTTACAAATTCATTTTGACTCTTTTAATATTGTGCTAAGTTTTACTTTAAAGATTGTCCAGCTATAAATAAAGTTAACTCCAGTTTTAGATGTTTTGCAAACTTGTGTCGACAGTAGTAACCGATGGAATGAAAAGTGAAATTCAAGTGTTTGGTCTTTGTACATTATTAAGTATTTTAATAATATGGGATATGTTGTTATTAAAGTTAAATACATTAAAAATACAAAATGGGTAATTTGGGAATCCAATCTTTAATTTTGATTGATTACATTTCTCATTTAATCAAACATGCATCAAGTTCTGTTATGGTTCAATAACTTTTCAATTATTTTCAGATCCAAACCACGCAAATTATGGGATCTATTCAGTTAGGCATACAACATGCCATTGGTGGCCTTGCAAGTAAACCTGAACGAGATTTACTTATGCAGGATTTCATGACAGTGGAAACAACAAATTTCCCCCATGAAGGGTCAAATCACACTCCAGCTCACCATTTTTCAGAGTTCAAATTTAAAAACTACGCACCTATTGCATTTCGTTATTTTAGAGATTTATTCGGTATTCAACCAGACGACTTTTTGGTTAGTTTTATATTATAAGTCTACATAACATAAAATTTTGTAAAATTATTGTATATGCTCTTTTTATTTAGATGTCAATGTGCAGTGCACCGTTGCGAGAATTATCCAATCCTGGTGCTAGTGGAAGTATATTTTATTTGACAGATGATGATGAATTTATTATAAAAACCGTTCAACACAAGGAAGGTGAATTCTTACAGACTTTGTTGCCTGGTTATTACATGGTAAATATTTTTGAAAACAAAATATAGAAGATTCAAATAATAAAAAGTTATGTTTACAAAATAACCTTCTATATTGCAACAAAAATCCATTTTCAGAATCTTAATCAAAACCCAAGAACATTACTGCCAAAATTTTTTGGTTTATATTGTTATCGATGTAATAGTAAGAATGTTCGGCTTGTTGCCATGAACAATCTTCTACCATCATCGGTTAAGCTTCACCAAAAGTACGATCTGAAAGGTTCTACATATAAAAGAAAAGTATGATCTAACTTATTAGCTATTTCAGATTTTTTATGAAATTATAACTGTAATTAATTTCTTTTTGTTTTTACAGGCATCTAAGTTAGAAAGAGCAAAGAAGTCACCAACCTATAAAGATTTAGATTTTATGGAATTTCATCCAGAGGGTATTTTTTTGGAATCAGACACATATACTGCACTAATTAAAACAATTCAACGAGATTGTAGAGTTTTAGAAAGTTTCAAAATCATGGATTATTCATTGTTGTTAGCAATACACAATCTGGATCAAGCGGCAAGAGAAAAATCCGTGAGTTTATTTATTTTGTTGACAGGTGACTGTATACTACCAAGAAATATTTCAAAACTTTATTTCTTCTGACGATGAAAACAGGAGCAGAGGTTATCGACGAGTGCAGAAGAAGATGGAGGTGAGTCGGGTACGGAGGGTGTCGGGCGAGGCGATAAAGTAAAAGAGAATAGGCTAGGAGCAATTGCATTAAACAGATCTCGTAGCATAAATCGGCAAAGGCTAGTTGCTCATAGCACTGCTATGGAAAGTATTCAAGCTGAAAGTGAACCAATTGATGAAGAAGAGGACGTTCCGTGAGTACTCGATTTCTTATGTAAAAGTATTGTCATCTGAAGACTTCGCGTCTCTAGTTCGTCAATGTAATGTATTAATAAATTGGTATTGTGAAATATTTATATTGTTTTTTTTAAATATCTCAAGCAGACCAGGTGGTATTCCAGCGAGGAATGCACGAGGGGAACGTCTTCTGCTCTTTATCGGTATTATTGACATTCTTCAAAGTTACAGACTGAAGAAAAAACTCGAGCACACATTGAAGTCGATTGTTCACGACGGCGTAAGTTTAAGATTTCGTTATAATTGATAACAACGTAATAGCATCAACATCTCTTACAATTTTAAATTGTTTATAGGACACGGTATCCGTACATCGACCAGGCTTTTACGCTGAGCGCTTCCAAAAATTCATGGCACAAACTGTCTTCAAAAAAATACCATCACGTAAGTACCATCCGAATCAACCGTTAGTAGCACACTTGACTTCGATGTTAGTACTCAACAAAGCTCATTCCTAATAAAAATTTTCCAAATGAATAATAATTGATTGTAGAGAGAGTGTGAATTAAATTAATCACAAAATAGGAAATTTCTTATAAAACGCGACATCTTAATATTGCTTAAATGAATGAATTTATTTTTAATAATTTTAAAATTTAATACTTCAAATTCGTGCGAATATTTTTACATAAGATGAGGAATTGTCTTCGGGAAAAATATGTATTTCAAAAAATATGTTATTCAGATTTGAACAAACAGTAGAATATTGTGCTGTAAGCTGTAAGCTAGTTATATAATTTTTGTTACTTCCAATGATAATATGCCATCGCGATTATTGTCTGTGATTCATCAATTATCGTTAACTGGTGGAAATATTTTGAGAAAAATTTAGCACAAATTTTGTTATTTTACATCAATTATTCTAAAAGTTTACTGCAATGTTAATAAATCTTAATAAATGTTTCTACCAGTCGAACATCATATTTAATATTCTTCATTCATCACTATTTGAATCCTTTTGGAAGAAACATTTGTATAGAAAGGAGAGAATACTGACTGTTGAATGCGAAATGACGATGTTAAGGAATTGTATATTTCATCATGTAACACATAATCATGTACTAAGTCTTTCATAAAAATACTATTATATTTTTTCTTATTTTTATATTTTTGTACGTCATCAAAAAGTAGATTATATACTCTTCGTTTGTACATTCTATATAATTTGTCACACATACACAATAACTAATATTTTAACTTTTTATTATTTTTCTCCGTCGATTCAATTCTAAGTTAAGCTTTTTACGTAAAAAAGTATCTTTTTTATGACGTTGATTTTATGCAGATTAAATATTTACAACGTAATTTTCTACAAAGCTTGGTGTCCACAAAAATAGCTGAGTATTTTATACGAAATATTGAAAAAATATAGAATGTAAACTATAAACATTAAATATGCCAAGTTTTAAAGACTAGTGCAAGTCGAATAATTGATTACTTAGAAGTTTTAGCATAAAAAAACGTTTATGAAAACATTTACCGGATTTTCTCGTCATTAAATGAAAAACGATACTAAATACACGAGTTGGTTACTTATATTTAAGTTAATAAATATTCCAAAATAAAGCGGGCTAGTCAACGGTATTAAAACCGAGAACAATTTGTTCTTTTATTTTATCGTCTAATCATTAAATTAATGGGAGTTATTTTAATAACCAAATTGATTCAATCGTACGACCTCATTCTGTTATGATGAGAAGATAAAAGCAAGTAATCCATTTGCATTGCGTTAAAAGTAATGTATTGAAAAAAATTAAAATTAACACAAATGAACAAATTGCTTAATAACACCGATATATATACATATATTTAATCGTCGTGATATTATTTGTTATTTTATATATTTTTTACTATTTACTAGTTTCTAAATGCACGATTCGCGCAAAATAAAACTCGCCGGTGTTTCGGAGTATTATTTATGTTCTTTGTCATAGCTGAGATTGTACAGTGCCTGTTCTACGCAAACAATTTTCTACAAAATAAAAATTGACGGATCCTGTATAAAATTGTTGTACTGAGTTAAAATTGCATGAAGCTTCTTATTTGTGGAGTGCATTTGTGGAAGCGGTACATGTGTTGGTATTAGAAAATAGCAATCTTAAGAATTTTATGTCAATTGATGAAGGTTTCAAAGTGATTGACTGCCAACAGAATTGTAAGAAAATGAAACTAGTTGCGCATGACGTAGTCATTTTTGAAATATTACATGAAGGTTCTCTGATCTCGTTATGTAATTTTTTTCCACTTTAACTGATACATGTGTCAGTGAAAAACGGACTATGCATCTAAATACGTTAAAAACTAATAGTTGATAGAGTAATATCATAGATTTGAGATTCTGTTTTCATTAGCATTAAGATAACACGTTTATTACCGATCAGGTCTCGGTGATTGCTCTTAGTACAATAATTTTTATGGAGTCAATTTTTACTTGCCACAAAGCGAACTGTATAAAACTGACTGTACTGTACAAAATCGTACAATTTCGGATTTGGCATGGAACGTAAATCATTAAATTTAATAAAATATATAAATTAAATGAAAAAAAAAGTTGAACGCATTTCTTGCCAGTAAAAAATAAGTATTATATAAATAAGTTTTGAATTTTATACCGCTGTAATATTTGTATTTACCTACATATTATTTAATTATAAGAAAGATAACAGTTCCATCACAAATAGACTAATCAAACTTCATTGATCTGTAAGAGAAATAATTAAGAAATAATTCGGTTATAATTGAGAATAATTTTATATTCAATTTTTGCTAGATGATTTATACAACTTTTTTTTGTAAATAATAAAATCTTGCAATATTTTTATTTAATAATTGTACAAACATAAAAGGCACCTTGCAACATTAAAATAATGTGCTTAAGATTATATTATGATTATGTATGTAACTATAAAAAAGTCAAAACAGTGCATCAACGTCGAATTTTGCATACATTCATTTTTTCATTGCACCTCATCAATAACATCAACGTATGTTATCACATGAGCCGATTACCCGATGTTTTACTATGATAATGCTGTACAAATTATTAAACTGTGTTTTGCAATTAATTTTGAATTATAGAACAAAGGTAAAATAGTACGTGTAAATTCTTGTTAAATTAGATTTTCAAGTAGAAAATAGATAGGCGGCGATGGAAATTCTATAAATTTTTATTTTCTTGTACTGTAGTACTAGAAACAACGCGAATTTTCAGACAAAACAATGGACTGTGGGTATGGAGATTTAGTGAAACAAATTTCTTCTAAAATAGTTTTTTACAACGAAACCGTAGTATAAGTAGCAATATAATGAATTACAGACAAAATAGAATAGAATATCTGATTATTAATTTTTTTAAATATTCAGCTATTGAGATTATGTGGACACCAATGTACATAATTATATTTTTCAAATAAACATTTGCTCTAACAAAGAAACAATTACATTTCATTTTGTACCAGACCTATATCCAACAACATACAGACAGTTACTTCACTACTTATTACAATAAAATAAGCATTAATTTTACGTAAGAAAAACACTACTTACATATTCCAACACTACAAATAGTCAAGGTTTCTATTTGAAACAAATGTCGAACCAGAAACATAGATCAGCGAAATTCACTCAAAATTTTACGAAGCTAAAGAGTTTTCATTCTAGTTCTTTGTTTTCTTGATAATACAAATCAGAACTATACTTGCAATTGTATAAAAGACTGCAGTGTTGAGGTTTGTAAAACTTTACCTGAAAGGTGTACCTCTTGGATAATATATACACAGATTATTTTTGTCGAACTTGTAACCATAAATTGGGTTAAATTGCGGACTTGATTATGTGTTGATAAATAAGCATTATCGTATGTGTTATAAAAAGAACTACGTATACTAATCCTTTCGGTGACATTTTCAAATCTATTGCTGTGTTCTACTTTACTGTCATTATCACTTTCTTGTACTTCAACATATTGTTGAATAATCCATCTCTATATATTAAAAATACATTGTGTCGTATAGATAGATACATGAATATATGAATATACATATTTGGCGTTAATTGGACATTACGAGATAATGTTCAGTACTGAGTTGGCTAAATGTGATGTTTTCTGTGTCCGTGCACTTCTCTTTCGTGTTCAACCCTTTGAACCCGACCTGCCAAATCGACAATCAAATGAAACTTGCAATAAAACTGCCACTCGCCTATTGTCATTTGGCGATGCTAATTAAGTGGACCTGCCCGAGATTAAGGGGAACCATCGCAAATTCCGTAACCTCGTCACCAGCTATATAGGTAACTTTGCTATCTCTCTGTCACTGTCTTTCTGTCTGTCTTGTTATCTAACTATTTGTTTACTATACATCACTCAATACATGAGATGGCTATTTTTTTACAATCCAATTACCTTATATCTTGCTTGTTCATCGTTACATGTTGTCTTTGTTGTTTTATTTGTCACTCTTTTTATCGACTCCTTTCCTCTTCTTTTTCTTTTTATTTCAATTTTATCAAATTCTAAGTTCTTTTAATATAATTAGCTTTATTCCTATTTAGTAGTTAAACTTTTAATTTAACTCGACGAATGTTTTGATCATTACAAAATGCACGTCATGATTTTTTTTATTAAATGTGATTTATTGAGGTTTACTATTGAATACATATTTCGTTTACAACGCTGAATAACTCAATATGCCAATTATATTTAGTGATTCCAATCTTATTTTTATTTAATTTTGCTCGTTTCCTCTTTAAATTTGAACTGAACGTCGTTACACACGCACACACACACATACACACTCATATATGTCATTTTAGGTCAATCTTATAACTTAAAAATTCACTTTTTTCTACTGATAATGTCAATTGAAAGTGACCAGCAAGATCTATAAGTGAATATTAAAACATATTTAAGTTAAAATCTAATTTTTTGCAGAAATTTTAAATTCGACTAGTTTCTTTTTCTATTTCCGACATTTTATAAAATTCGATTGGTTTTGTAGTATGGAGCATATATTCCAAGTACTGTAACATGGGAGATCTCATAAATGAACGTTTAAAATTATTTATCTTTCGGCATTTCAACTTGCTACATCTGAAGACTCGACATTATAAGATCAAACTATTAAAAAAGGAGAAATTTACTCCGGCTATATATACATGTCAAATGGATGTGCACGTATTACATGTACCAAGAATTGTCACTAAAAGAAAATCCTTAATTTGTAGTTGACGCACAGAGACAAATCTACAGAACTATACCGGTTTTTCAAGAAAAATGTACTACTAAGTAAAATTTAACATGTAGATAATTACAAGATACATTACTTGCTTTCTGTCTAGACTTACTAAATTCAGGAGTTGATTTTATTATTATTAATTACTAAGTTTATCTGATGCAACTCCACAAAGCTGATTATAGTAATTTTTAATTTCTGGAACATTAGAGTCATAACTTGTAACAATTTACTTTTTTTCTACGAAAGGCATATTTCTATCAGAAAACCAAAGAATTTGAAAAATATACTAAATTTAAGAATTCGTGAGGTTTTCGAAAGTTTTGAAGCAACACTCTAACATTTAGTAATTTTTTCTTTGGACAGGTGACAGATTTTTTTCTAGTTTTCTTGGTTTCGACAATGAAAATATGTTAAAAATAGTCCACATAAAATATTGATTGAGCTTTTTCTTATTGACGTGAGGCAGGTTTAGATCTAAAAGTGATTATCACAGAATATAAACAATATTTTTGCCGAACAGGTAGTTAGCCAAATACAAATTGAAAGTTCTGTGGATTTGCTGTATATGAAGATATGTTTTTGTTCTGTCCTTGAGATGCTACACAACTTTATATTTATACAATTTTAGACACCTGATGCATGTTATTTTAATTCTATTATTTTTCCACTCATAATTCTATATAGAATTAAAAAACTCACTATTCTTTAAGACTGTCTCTCTCCTGTATTATCTTATTACCTCTCCTTGCTAAATCAAAAAATCAAAGCGTTCGTCCCAATTGTAAATTATAGTTTCCTAAATCCTTAGAATAATTTAATAACAAGAATTATAAGCTTCATAGAACTTTTCATTTTACGGTCCTTTCTATAAATGCATGTAACGTTTACATCTATGTGAAAGATCAATATAAGTAACGAGTGATAGGATTTATACTTCTTCGCGTTATAAAAATTGATACATCTCTTTTATCCAAGTAAAACGAAGAGTATGATGATCGAAGAAATTTTTATGCAATGTCTTCAATGTCGATATTTTTTTTGTCATTTCAACGGTTATAATAAAGTATCAATAGTAGGTTTTTGCTATGTGGCTCCTTCATCTTTTAATTATAATTATTTTTTAAATAATAAATAATAGTTTACTAACTATTAATATGTACTAATTCAAAGATTAACGTTTAATGTAGTGGAAAAACTACATATTTTTATAAACCAGTTGATTATTTTTTTTTTATTTATAATACAAATTGTTTGAAAAATTACTATTTAACAATATAAAACATTTAATACTTTAGGAATTAAATCAAAAAAATCAAGACATAAAGTTCGAAGCTCCGACGGGACGAGTTGGGATAAAGGTCTGTCATGAAATTTGAATGATGCTCTATTTAGCGATTCAGTACGTAAAATCCATATTTTCTAATTGGCATATTAGTGCCGCGTACTTGATTTTTCACTTATCTTAAACAACTATTGACGTTTTTTGGATATTTCGTTGACGATAATGATAATAATTGACTTTACGTAAAAGTAAGTTGAACTTACGAAATAAGAAAAAGCACGAAATTTTTAATGTAAGCATGATGACAATAATTAGAATTTTACATTTTGCGTAAAGTTTGTAGATTTTTTTTATCTCAAGTGTTACTTTATGTGTTTTCATTCATACAGACATTTTTAGTTCATCTTCACTCAAATCTGACTATGTTTTTGTAAAATGATTTTGTTTAGATGCCGTATGCTGAATGATTAATAATACGTAGTTTTACCAGAACTTAAATGAGTAATAGATCTGTTGTAGGAAGTAATTTTTTCACTCTTTCCGAAATCAAATAAGTTAATTAGACGAACTAATTGAAAACGTTTTGCAGTATCTTTATATTGTAATTTTTTTTTATTATGATGTTGAATGAGCAATCGACACGTTTGTTTTTGATTCGTCCGATATTTTTCCAATTAGAAACTTGAGTGTCAACAGAATTCCGTTAAAACATGAATTCAACACCATATATAAAATCACTAAAAAGTTATTGAAGTGAGTATGTCTCTTATTTTGAACTCATAAGAGTGTGAATTTCTTTCTGCATTAATTGTTTTTTGTGTTATTAGAATAACAAAAAAGATATACAAAGACAAGAGTACACTCGTTGCGCCTTTTGCATTCTTTAAGCACCGAGAATTAAGTTTGCTTGTGTGAATTGTAACAATTTTAGAGAGTTGATTTTATGAAACGTTAACTGATATTAAGCAATTGAAAAAAAAAATATTTTCAAATGAGGAATTCGAAGTACAACGATGGTTAAGTGATTCAGATGATGAAGTAACTTAAACAATGACACGAGTTACAGTAGCGTGAGTTTTACTTCGAAAAACGCCAAATAATGTTTGAATTTCTTCGTGACTAACTACATGCAGTGCACCAGCAGCGTTTACGACACGATATCGATTGAGCTCGCTTTGCGCGGGCAACTGATTCACTGAGGAGAGGGATCAACCGAAGAGCTTCTTTCACATCGGGATTTTTGTGTTGCAGCGCTGAAACATTCTCCTTCGAAGAGGAAGAGCATCTCAAAGCCGGTGAGACCACTAGAAGCTGACTTCGACTCAACGGGTAAGTCGGCCACCGATAGCCTTCTTTATTTTATCTATACATGTTTCAAGTTGACGTATATACCTCACGATGGCTATGAAACAGTTGCATCTGTGCATTCGACGTGCTTTTATGCAGCGCGCTGCTTGTATGTCAAGCCACTGCGATAACCAATTTTTCTTGTGCCCGATCTGTTTCCCAATCGACTTTTATTTATTATTTATGCTGATGATTATTTTTCATTTTATTATTTTCATTCACTTTATTTTGCATACCCGTACGAGAAAGCGAGCATTCACTGTTGTCAGATTATATCTCTGTTCAGTATGCTCCTGAACAATTACTGGATCCTTGTTCTTCTTCAAATATCGAAAATCCACTCTCCATCCTCATTATTAATTTGTCATTAGAAACCAGATCAATTTAAATTTAGCGAAAGCAAGTAGTAACTGCTTAGTTGTTATAAAGAATATCCGTTACTGTTCCTCTAATTTAAATTGATGGAAAATTGTACATACAAATCGATGTGGCGAGAGTTGCATTTGAGTCGAAAACGAACTTGCAAGGTAAACGACTTCCTCGAGGCGGCAGAGCAAGTTCCGATGAATCAAGAGGTGTAGGGTAGCTTCCTGTCTCGAAACCCTTCACCTGTCTTCCGATCACGAGGTAGAGTGAGAGAGAGAGAGAGAGAGAGAGTGAGAGTAAGCGAGTAAAGGCCTGATACGCGAACGGAACGCGAGACGGGCTGAAAGAACAATCGATCGACGCTAGCTGCGAAAGAGCTGTGTACCCTACCAGCTACCGACACCGTGCTGCTCAACGCCCCTTGACAATGCTGCTTCTTATCATACCTTAGTTTGCTTCGCCTCTTTTCAGTTTTCTTTTCTCCTCATCTCCACTATCATTTTTTTATCTTCTCTCAAACATTTCTTTCTTCATTAATCTATTAAAATAATGTCATTTATGCATAATCATTTATTTCATATTTGCTGAAAGCAGACAAATTAAAATGAATACGAGTTATCATTTTTTTAAATTTTGCTATTTGATTGCATTTGAATCGCGAAGAAAGTCTATTCTAAAATTTGATGATCGTCGTAAGCTTTACGCATGCAGTCGTTTCCTCGTCGTATAATCGTCGGCTTCACTCCTGAGCTGCATTGAATAAGCCCTCAAATAGCAAAAACTGAGCCGTGCTTCAATTATTTTTGTAATTGATTGTATTAAAAAAATGACTTTTAACTGTCGATATTTGTTACACTATTATTATTATGTTACCTCCTCAATGTAAGTTTACCTAGCGGGAGTACGTGTTGATTGTGAATGAAAACGTTGTTTGTCTGCTTTCAATATTTTCTTAACAATTGTAATGGCATGCTGTTGTATGTGGTGGTTTAGCGGTGACGGCTATCGGTAATTCAGCTGTGCATGTCACATCACCCACAGAGCCCGGTGAGTTGTTCGCTTTTTATCATTTTCATTATCATTCTATGCTGACCGTACCAGTTCGTACTCTCATTTTGGACAATCATATAAAAATTTTCACTCCAAAGATGTTTTCACGCTAATCTTGACCAATGCTTTTTCTTGTGTTTTTCATTATTATCCAAGAATTGGAGAGCGAACAGTACTTCAAAAAAATATACCGTTAGAAACGTTTCACGATCATTTTCAACAGAAACTTGTCCATTAATGATTGCTAACAATGCTTAACAGTAGGCTGATTCACTTACAAAATCATTGTTGTGGAACTAATCAATAACTAAATTGACAAAATATTTTTCTGGATACGCTTTATGCTTATGGAAATAAAAATTTTTGATACTGATACTGATAACAAAAATGATTGAAAATTTTAAAAGTACTTCATAGAATATTGATGCGTATAGAATTTTACAGTGTTAATACAGATCCTGTATTGTTTTTTGTTCAAATTACGCTTACTTTGTTTTTTTTACGACCTTTGATTCGATTCAACCTACAATATGTTGAGCTTCATTTCGCAAATACTGGAATTTTATTGTTTGAAATGTAACAGTAAAGTCTTTCATCGACGATCAATCAGATGTAATATGATAATTTTATGTTCAACTCACTGACTGTCGGTCTAATAATGAGCGAAACGAGTGAAAAAAGTCATATATAATATGGAATCAGATTAGCTTTCAACAAATATTTTAAACCTAGGTATATTATTCCTTACATATCTCTCGATGCAAAATTTAAAATACTTTCTTTTTTCTAATATATTTTGTGTTAAGATATATTTTTTGTTATTTTGCGGCAAATAAATGTCAGGTACGTAGGCACACCGGAAGCGTAACGAGTTTGTTTGGTTTTCTGTTTGTATCTGTCTCTATCCAGATGTACACTAATTCTGAAGATCAACTAGAAATAATTATTTTAATCTAGATAAGACGTACTGTGACGCGCTAAATTTGAATGAAAAGTCACAATCACTTCATCGTCTAGGTTGGCTTGAGGCTCTACGCGGTGAATTTCGATCATAAATCTTGTTTTAGCAATGACATAACATAAAAAATGTGATGATAATAATAGTCAAAGGAATGAACGTGGAGCAGAATTTTTAGCGTGTTGCACACTTGGAAGCTTGAATCGATCATAGTTTGTTATCAGTACACAGTAATCTCTACATTCAGAAAAACTTGGGTTGCTTATGATCGTATTGGGATGAAGATTGGTGAAAACTGTCGCAAAAGCTTGTCTAATCTCCGAGAAAATGTGGCGGGGTAGGCGGGAAACGGTCCGATTTTTCTGAGTGTACGAGAAAGCTCGTTAACGGAGCGACGCAAGGAGCTACGGCGATCGTGCGAGCCGCGATCACGCACGAGTGTGCAGAGTATAATGGGCAGCGTGTGGTTTGTTGCCTGACCCGAGAACAGCAGCGGCAGCAGCGGCGAGTGCGCAGCAGCAGGAGGCGACGAGCCCCACGCCGATCGCCACCTCGACTCCGCTGGCGCCGGCTGCGGGCCCGCTGAGCCCGCCGCCGCTGCAGAGCCAGCCCCGGGGCCCCGGGGCCGAGCTGGCGACCAGCAGCAACGACAGAGCCGGCGCCAGGCCTGACGCCAGCCCGCAGTACCCGGCGGTGCTGAAGGGCAGCGCGACGCGCGCCAGCAGCAGCAGCGCCGGCTCGCCGCCCGGCGCGGGGGCCAGGGTGCCGCCGCCGGTGCCACCCCGCGGCAGCGCCAGGCCCAAGCAGCCAGGTGACCAGCAGCTCGGGCCGAGGGAGCGCGCGCCGCCGCGAGCCGCGCCCCCGCGGCCGACGCCGCCGCCGGTCTCCGAGGACGACGAGTTCGTGAGCGTGGAGCGCCTGGCCGACGACTCGTACGTGATCCGCGCGAGCCCTTGCCCCTTCCGGCCGGAGCGCCGCGGGCCGCGGGCCCGCGGCGTCGCGCGCCCTGCGCCCGGCGGCCGCACGCCGCCCATCCCCATGCCCAAGTTCACCTTCTTCATCAACCCGGCGGCCAACGCGGAGCTGCTCAACTGGCGCATGTCGCGCAAGGACAAGAAGCACTCGGAGACCTTCTGCGAGCGCGAGCGCCGGCGGGAGCGCGAGCGCCACTCCCTCGAGCCCTGCTGACGCGCGCGCGACTCCGCCGGCGCCTCCCCGCCCGCCTGCCTCGGCGGCCGCGACTCGCGATGCGCTGCGCACGGCTGCGGCGCCTAGTCGCCGCGTCTCCCTCCCGTTCGCGGCGACCGCGCGCAACCGGCCCACTTGCACGTTCTGTTTGTCGTTGTGTCTATTTGTCAGCGCATTTATCAGCTTTTTCAAGATTCGTCTGATTTACCTGGAAACCACGATCTGCCGGTTCTGAGTTTCCTGGCTCGGCTTTCTTTAACTGTTTTTCCTTTTCGTTCGATAGACATATTTATCTGTTTTTCTTTTGTGCAATATAACAATGTTGATCAAACCAACAGTTAACTACCTTAATGATGTTTTCGTTATTCTTTACAGTAATCATGACCTTTTATCGTTGCAAGATATTAGTCTAAGAAAAATATACAACTTCGTACAAAGTTTAGCTCTTCCACAGTCAAAATTTGTATGTCCTACGGTAATTTTTAATAAAAGTATCTGAAATGTACAAGCGTACAAAATATATACGATACTTTTTAGCAACTGACTGAATTTTCATTTTTTTGTAATTTTGTCCATCCTCAAAATGTCAGATAATAATTTAACGCTTGAAATAATATCAGTAAAGCTCCTTTGATCATCTCTTCCTCGCTTTGCTAGTTACGCATTGAAAGCTTTTTTGATGTATACGCTAAAAGCACATCTTGCAGGAAAAAAGAGAAGAGTTGTTTTTCATTTTTTTATTGTTGGTTGTGACTTACCTTAGCGTTAACTTTCAAAGTTACTTCTTCGGTTTTCGTTTGATATTTGCTTTCACTCAATTGAAGAGCTGATCTAAAATGCGTAAATTTACACAATTCTATCAATTATCAATGTTACATAATATCATTGTCAAACAAAGTTTTCTATCCATTGAATAATACATAGCTCTTCAATTATTTTTCCAGGCGCAAAGTAACCCATTTTCAATCATCGATGTCTCATAATAATATAACCCATCGTTAACTTTTTTTTTCAGGTAACCTACCTCAATATCAATTTTTAGAGCATGCCATTGATATATTTACATATATAATTACATTGCAATAGGCAATTACTCGATAGTCGTTTGTTGATATAACACATCGTCAACGTTTGCCAACTTCTACTTATCCTACATATAAATGAATGTTAATACTTAGATAACTAATAAGAATAATCTTGATGTTGTCTCGTCCACCTTGTTTTGTTGACGCAGAAGCGAAATTGAGTTTAGACTATTGATCATTCATCTCAATGGTAGATGGTGTTTGTCATTTGATATTTATCGTAAGAACAGTAGAGTTTGACTGTCCCGGTGTTGTCTGTAGAGATGGCAACAACTGTAAATAAGGTAGTTTTGGTTGCATTAAAGAGGAGGAATGCGTAATGTAAGCAAGTCTCAAGAGGCATATGGGTGCAGGAGCTGAATGAACTTGGCTGTATATCATTCCTGATTGAAAATGGGTAAAATTCGCGGTGTTGGTCGATGTCTTTCGTACTTGACTGTTGACTGGAATGTCTGACTGTTTGCTCGCTGACGCTCTGTTGCTCGTAACAGCGACGCGTTTTGGCTTGACCGATCCTTTCGCTTCGTAGCGGAGTGCGTATGAGCAGAGGAACGAGTGCGAGAGCAAAAGCCTGGAGAGACGCTAACGCTAGGCTGCGCTTTGATCCGTAGGTGGCACCCTTCCTTCCACCTGTTCCACCCCGCCCCCGCCCTTCGACGACGCGGTGCGCTCGAACGACCAGACTCTGGCCTCGGGCGGCCACCACCCTCACCACCCTCACCAGCAGCAGCAGCAGCAGCAGCAGCACCACCACCAGTACCAGTACCAGCACCAGCAGCAGCAGCAGCAGCACCACCACCACCACCACCACCACCAGCAGCACCAGCAGCAGCGCTCGGGAAACACCAGCCCGTCGGTATTGACGAGCAGCCTCGCGGGCTCGCACAAGGAGTGCGGTAAGGTGGTGCATCACGTCAGCCTGACCAAGAGTCACCACGACGCCGTCAGGTGAGCCGCCGCGCCTGGCCGGGCCCGCAAGCTCGCGCCCGCCTTGACCGTGGTTGCCCACTGCCGCAGCATATCGGACGTGCACTTGGAGAGCAGCTGCAGCGGCGGCAGCGGCGGCAGCGCCGACGGTCGGCCGACGAGGTCCTCGCTGAGCGTCGAGAGCGCCGGCAGCAGCAGCCGCGGCGGCACGGCTGGGCAGCTCACCTGGACGCCGCCCGCGGGCAGCGCCGAGGGCTCGACGCCCACCTGGACCGAGGGCACGCCCTCCTTCACCGAGAGCTCCAGCAGCGGCGAGCTAGGTAAGTGCAGCCTGTGCCCGACGACGCCGCCGCCGCCCCGAGCGAGCGGCCAGCTCCTCGCGGCTCGCCGTGCAACTCGGCGATTCGAGCTGCGTCCCGACCAGTGATCAGCGACCGTCTGTCGCTGTGCGTGCTGGCTCCACTGTGTGCAGCGGCAGCTCGACCCTCGTCGTCAGTGTGTGTGTGTGTGGCCTTGCTCGGCAGTACTATATTACTGACCACAAACGCTTTTTACATCGAAAGGAAACGTCACTCGTTTCCCTTTCAACTGCCTTGCACCTCGCCTCGACCTCGCCTCGACCTCGCCTCGAGTGCAGTCCTCTTCCACTGGCGTTTTCTTGTCAACGAGTGCCTCCAAATTGCATTTACTCTTTGCTCGTGACACTTGTAATGAATAACATGCTTTCGATCGATCGGCGTCGCACGCAAATGCTCGAATCAAGCTCAACCGATCATCTTTTCTCGATATATACGACATACATTAGAATTTTCATGTAACACTGGACGGCCAATCTACGTGGCCCTTTAAAGTAAACGCACATATGTACAAACTGATCGAACGGTGCATTGCGTGTAAATCGGTTATCGACTCGAGAGCTTCACTCACATCTAAGATATATATTTTCTTAGCTCTGTTTAGAACGTGTCCGAGACATTCGATGTGTATACGCATGTTACTCCACAATGATATACATATATTTTATCTTAAAATCGACAATAAAACAGTGTGCGTAAACATTAAAACAGACTATGAGTTATTTAACGACATTTTTTGCAAGCGTTGTAGGATCGCTGAGCTCGGAGATAAGTTACTTATACCATTATTCTTTGTAACAAATGACTACTTGATTTTGTTCACACATTATTTATTAGAGCACACGCTTCATACCTAGCATCAACTTATTTTATGCTTCTGATTAGCATCTTTTCGCAAGAAAAGTTGTTCGAGAGCTACTTTTTACTCTTGCCTCGACTCTTTCTGTAAATAAATCACGTTAATCTGTAATCAATCAATACTTACAGAACAATTTTTTTACTTCTACATAGATATCTATCATTGTAGATTACATTCCATACTTAACAAACGCACGATACGACAACTTGTCAGCAGTTATTAGAATCTTATCTCTATAATTATTTACAAATGTTACGTCGGACATGAACGAAATAACTTCATCTCTGCTCTAAATTTATTTGAACGCGAGGGTTCCGAAGTCATAATATGAATCCATTTTACAGGTTGTCCCACAACACCGCTTCACGGAAGCGAACTATCAGAGAGAGATGCTAAACTATCGGGAACGGTCGAGGAAGCATTAGTCAGTTTGACCACAGAAATGGTAAGCTCAAATATTTTCAGTTACTCCCATGTTATTTATGTTTTTATTTGAACCCCGGATGATTGCCTAAAACTCGTCCGTTTTTGCATCTGCTACATGCCTCATTTCCATCCTTAACCGACCCGCAACAATTAATATGCAAGTCAAATGATTATTATTCAATATTAATTCTTGACTTATTTCGCCGCAACGTTTTATTATCTTTCTCATGCTGAATTTCCGCTTATCATACATCAAATGGCTTCTACGCTGAATTTTAGCGTCACAAAAATATCCACATCTTATGTTAATTGTTAACCTGGCGATATAATCAAAGAAACAATAATCAGGAACTGGAAGATATATTCGTCTTTCTGATATCACGATATATCTTAAACCAATCATCAGTCTTATATTAGTAAAAGTACAACCTTTATACGACGATTCATGTGTCTAATTTGCTGTAACTGCGCGCACTCACTTCAGCTTTTATAACTTAATTGAACAATCAAGGGCTTATTCAAAGTGCATCATGATTACTTTGAAAACGTATATCATTAGACATATTTAAATTGTTCTCGATCGTTTATCATCACTTCATTGAACAATATTATTTGTTTACTAATTTGTTGCATTATTATTTCAAGATTTACAAGGTATCATGTTTTTAACTATGGACCAACTAATCTGTAAATTTTCTCAATTTATATATACGTTCAATTTTTTTCAGGCTCATTGGAGAGAACAGCTCAAAGAAAATGAGCTTTGAGACAAATAAATAGGAGTAACTTTAGGCATTTAAAGGTTGTAATTTTACCTTTTTTATAGTTGTTGTTGGGCTTTCGTATATTTGAAAATATAGCTTGCTTTTTTTTTTGTATTTCAAATCTGTCATTCTTAACACCAATATCGGCTCGAAAGAAATCCGACCATTACGATGGTCATGTGCCAATTGTGACAAAAACATTTATTATATGAACAGTTGAACAATCTCATAAACCAACCAAAATTACTATTCAATCCCGTACATGTGCAACGTGTAATTGTAACAAATATGTAGGCTTTGCATGTAGCGCTCTTTGGCACATTTCATATGGAAATTGAATTGCAGTATTATGCAGTATCGTATACATGTTGTGAGTGACTAGTCAATTCAATATTTTATCTAATGTCCTAGGACAATAGACGGTTCATTTAGGAAATCATGCACCTGTCTATTTTCCTAGGATAATTTGCCGAATGCCGGATAATAGACAGTTAACCTGAGCATTTAGCTAATATTATAAATAAACAGGTAATTGAATCGTCGAGTGTTAAGTATGTATTTTTTTCCTTACTAATCCAAAGCATATGATAGATATTTCATATGGAACATTTATTTGCCTGTCCAGCTGTTTGGCAAATAGTGGATTTTATTTATTACAACTGAACTGATTGGACAATCATTTTCTTAGTAATAATAATGATAATAAACAATGAACAATCATTAGAGTTGATACTTTCAATTGTAGTTCAATATTCAATTCTATTCATTTTGCTTTCAAATGAACAGATATTATTGGGGAATGATAATTGACTCAATCTATATGATCCTTCCGTTTGGCAATAGCACGGTACTTATTGTCAATCTTTAGTTGTTATCACTGTCAACGCGGCTAAATAATAGCCATTTGTTTAGTCCCCCACTTAGGATATTAGCTGAACGTCCAGGTGAATAGATCAATGCTTAATCGTTTGACCATGGGCTGTCTATTATCCGACGTTTGGCTACTATCCTAGTAAAGTAGATATGCACATCTACGGTATATATTTCCTTATTTAAGAGCATAAAGTCATCACAATGTAGCGTAGACACAATAAAATGTTTTTCTTCTGTTTTTTACTGTAACTATGGAATCATGACATATGTTTAAGTTTTATTAAGTAAAATATATTTAGTACGTTCTTTGCATTCACCCTCCATAACTATAAATAAACAATTTTAAAAAATCACGAACTTTTAAGGGTTGACCCTCTACATCGTGATTTTTTTAAATGTATAAAATAGTTATATCGTATTTTTCGAATTCACAAGATTTTGAACTTGTTACATGTAACAAAATATTTACAAATAAATAGGAAAAGCATTAAAGGGTCTAAAAAATTGGCTTACTTATCTATATATTTGAATTGAAAACTTTATAAAGTATAGATGAATGTTTTCACGCAAACAACTTTTGATAAGTTAAACCCATTAAATCTGGAATGGACGCGTTTTCAATTATTTTTTCAACGGCTTCAATATATACGCTAAAATTCGGTCCTTAAAATATTTGAAAATACATACGTCCGACTCAAAATTTTCTCATCTTCCCGAATATACTTTCAAATAGGAAAATATTAATATTAAAAAAGTTACCTTTGTTCAACCAAAAATGAGAAATTTTATCGATTAATGTTTTCATATCAAAAGTAAAATTGAGTATTTTTGATTAATAAATTGTTTTCGTCCATAGACCTTAAGAGTTAAAACATACATACATTGGTATTTCAAAATTCATTGTAGATGCTATCAATATGATGGTCAAAAGCCTAAAATTTGTTGTTATTTTAAAAAAATTCAACTGAAAAAATTTTTTCATTTCGAATTTCATGGACACAAAAAATGTATCAACCAAAAATATCTCTATGTTTTAATGTGAAAATATAATTAAAAGAAATTGTATGAAGCAAAATTTATATTTTTTTGTAAAATAAAACAAATGTCACTTTTTTCATATCAACTTTTTCCGATTCTGAAAGCATATTCGGAAAGATGAAAAGGTTTTGCGTCGGACGTGTACATGTTCGAATACTTTGAGAACGAATTTGTGATCTACTGAAGCCGCTGAAAAAAAGTTGAAAAAATGGCCATGATGGACATAGTGGATTAAGACACTCAACATATTTTGTTTGATTTTTGATTCTTACTAGTGGTATAAGAAATTGTCAATAGGATATTAAAAGGCTGTATTAAGTTTCTTTTTTTCTATCCAACTGCATGTGATAAATCAGTCTTTTCTATTCAACATCAGATTTATACTCAGCTGCTATAGTAAAACTTACAAATCTGATGTATTGAAATATTTTGCATTTAATAAAATAAAAACCTTATATATAACTACGTTAAATTAAAATATACAATACTCGATATTTTGAATTCACTTAACGTACAATATACATTTTCTGATATTTTATTGAAAATATACTTTTTCAAAAGATTTAATTCAAGTAACACATGTAAGAAAAGTAACAAATCAACATTAAAAAATATTAAAAAAGAACCGTTTATTGAATTAAAATTTTCGGCTATTTTATAGTATTTTTTACTTGAGTTGAAGATTCATCAGATAGCATACAAACGTGACTATGAATTGAACGACTTGAAGGCAAACATGAATAGTCTTTAGTTCATATATAGAAAATAAAATCTAATCACGTATCTATCTCAATTGTCGCTATGTATATTGCAAATAATACAGTCGTTATAAATAGAACATTTCCATACTAATGCGAAAAAGTAATTTCACTCTCGTGTGGACGTTTGCTCTCGAGCAAAGCAACATACCACACAAGGATGAAATCACTTTCTCGTACATGTATCTAACTTTATTTTTCAATACGAGGTGCGTGGAATGAGATTTTAAGCATTCTCGATTACTCGAGCGTACGTAGAGTCGAGTCCCTTATGCATAGAGTATCAAAAAATATATTTTGTATCGTTAAAACAGCTAAAGTAATGGCTAATTAAAATTACGAGTTGTAATTAAAATAGCACAAGATTGCCTAATGTATTTGTAAAAAGTCGCATCCTTCAGTTTGTAAAAATTGTTTCAATATTACCAAGGTAGTTCATATTCCACCGTACAACTCAAAACTAATTAACTTTCAGAAGTTACATAGTTATACTGAATCCTCTACGAGGAAGTGGAATTGAATAAATTATGTATAAAACTTAAAAAAATACTAATGTAGTTTTATAATACTGTACTAAAGGCAATGATGAATATTAATCCGGAACTAGATACCAAATTCTTTTTATATAAAAATAATATAAAATAGTTTTACTTAGTTTTTCGTTTGTTGAAAAAGTTACAAAGAAAAAAACTTTTATATTATCCAATAATGTCACTTGAAAGTATCAGAGGCGAACTTTAATTAACTATATGTCGAAAATCAAATGCTAACTTAATATGTTATCATATTAGTTACATATAGGTTCTTAACACTAAACTTACCAGAGCGTTCAACTGACCGCTCCTAAAGCCCAAAAAATAAATGTTTTTAAATTATTATATGATAATTATTTTGTGTTTGTTGTTTATCCTAAATTCTGTATTAATTACAATCAACTGGAAAAGACTATAATTGTTTATTTCAAAAATGGTCATTTGACCGCCATTCGGTAGAAATAGGTATATATAATATATTGGTAGGTTTAGTGTTAAATTTTTAAATAATTGTTGAAACTTTTGGTTCGGGTATGAACTACCTTAATAGTTGAGTCTTGTTATTTATTTTCATAAAACATCACGTAGATTGCAAACTTGGAATAGGCAAAAATCTTTTATTCGTATTTGTATTAATAAATAGACATAACTTCTTTAAAGAAATTAATCAAAGAAAATAATTATTTTTCTGTGGCTCGTAAGAAATTGGTAGTACACTGTTTAATTGCATGTATGATCAATTAGATCTGAGATACTTCTTTTCCTGATTAGGAAATTCTACAGCGAGAATGAAGACATCCCGTAATGGTCGACAACAAGCTTATAACATTTCGTGCTGCAAACATCAACGTGAACAAGAAAGGAAAAAAATAATACATAATTAATTTTCGCGGTCCTAAGAGTGATGATATTTTCCTGTCAAATTAGATGAATAATATTGACCTGCATATACTCCTATTAAAGTACATAGACTGGATGACGATAGGATAGCTATCACTAAAAACACTCGCGGGGTATATTTGCATCTTTTTCATGCAAAGTTTATAGGGCAATACTAGAGTAGCAAATGTTTTCATTGAGCTAGTCTATACTTGTTGATTGTTGAAGGAAATATACTAAAAAAGATGGATTGTCGTGTCTGTAAAAGACACAAATATTATTATTTTAAACGTGGACAGTTTATTTATCATACTTAAAAAATTTATGCTGATTATTAATGAAATACGTTGATCAAGATGCCAAAAAATTTTTCATCCTTAATCTTGTACGTTAACAACTAATCATATTTTATTGAATGTTCAAGAACGCATTATGACATTGCATACATCTATGTAATTTGAATTATACAAATATTTGAAACGTGCAGTTTTTTATATTTCCATTGTGAAAAGAGAAATAGTTAATATTTCTAAGAAGTATCTTTTAAAAATTTTGAGTTGCAAATAAGTATATTCATAGGACAGTTCTGGTTGAAAACATTCCAACCAACATGTTAAAATTTCAAGTATTAGATTGAATAATTGGAGTTGCTAATAAATTATTGCCGGAGCCACGGTAATATCCTACAATTCAGTGTCGCTTGATTTTACATATCCTTATACAACAATTCTCATGTGTACCATGTTATAATAATCAAAGCACATGTTTTCAATGAAATAAACAAATATCAAGAAGCTTTAAAAATAATTGCCAGATAAAAATGCTTCAGTAGACAATGTTACGTAAATATATAATATGTATGATATACTATACATTGTATATTATAAATATTACACAGCTTGCGGTCGATAATAATTTCGTCATTATTTATAAAAACTCCAATATACAAATGACCGATTTAAAATCAATGGAAGTATGTACAATTCATTACTTTCCACGTATTTATTTATTCAAGTACTTTTTCTGATTTTATATTTTTATACTGTTTTGCAAAATAGTTCTAAAGATTTGTTACATTGAACAAGTACAAAATGCATTGAGAGAACATAAAAATTTTCTTTATTTCTATCAAATATAGTATTTTATATGAGTCTATTATAATTTATAAAATGAATGAACTCGTAATTACAAGAGCGGATGTATTTTTGTTACATAGTATAACAATTTAGTAATTCACATTGATTTTAAATGCGGAATAATGGAAGGAAACATTTGTAAATATGAATTAGTCGATTTATAGAAACACAGCGTGATACAGTCGATTTTATTACAAAATGAAAATGTAATTATAATAATCAATCAATTCAATGCATATAATCGACTTGTATGTATAGTATACGATACTTATACCATTAATAAATAAATACATATAGTATATTAGTAAGTAATATTATTCAATTTATATCATTTGGAGCCAAATACAAATAAATTATTTATTATTTTAGCTTTTATACTCCTGTTACACATTTTGAAACAACTTTTATATTATTCAATATTTATAGCATGCAGAAATTTAATTATATATAATAAATTTTTTTGCAATAAGTTAAAAAAATTTGTTATAAAATTGACAGTGACAAAAAAATGTCTTTATACGTATTATGAGTGATATATAACTTTAAAAAAGTTTAATGTTGTCATGATTCTTTACTCGAACGAAAATTAAATTAAATTATAAAACCGCATCTTCATATGATCAATGCCATTTGTTTAATTTGCATTATGAATTAATAAGGAAGCAATTGACATGATTTGATAAAAGATGTTCTTATTTTATCAGCGTGAAAGAAAATAGTTTTGATGTGCGTGAATTGTAATGAAGAATACTTTATTTCTGACATACGAAGTTGCATATATATAGTATCATTATATTTGATACAAGTCACCGCATCATTCACACAACATAATTATGGCGCGATTATTACTTTAAAACACAAATAGAGTTATATTTTTGGCAGGCGCTAATTGTATACTATACATACATTCATAGAAATACGTGAATCTATGTGGCTTGAATTGAGTCTCTATCTATTACCATGTAATTATTATACAAAATATTCATATTCTCAAGCATATCTCTTTACGAATAGTTACTATAGTACGCGGAAAAAGCCGAAATAACATTTTATTTTTTACGTTCCTTGATTCGATTTTCAAAATCATAATACTTGCATTTTTGTTGGGTGTATTTATTTTACACTCATATTGGCGTTACCATATAAAATTACACTTTTTATAGGGGAGTTGATGGATCCATATAAAATATGTAGGGTTATCAAAGCATACCGATGTGCCTTGAATATTACATCATTCTCGTTCAGTTTTTAACTTATTGTAAATAACTTAGTAATCCACAATTCCTTAAGTTAATGTGAATGGTAAATGACTGAAATATTTATAAAATATTCAAAATTGAAAGAGAATAATGTAATATTCAAGATCAGTTAGATTATGTTCTTGTAATCTGGCTAGTATGTTCCCCCTATGTCAGCGCAAGCATTAGAGTTTCTCAATTGTATAATGCTTTATTTCACACTTTTGTGTTCAATCGAACGTTGGTATTAATTGCAAAAATTTGAAACCAAAATGTTGTTCAAATAAATTGTAATTAAAGAATTAACGCTAATGCCATGAATGAATTCATGCAGTGAATATTATTAGAATTATGAAAACATTTATTGTTTGAATTTACTATATAATGATTAATAGATTGATTAGTTTGATTATATAATTCAAACATTATTGTTTCATATTCTACTCTGTCTCATTTTTAGTTGGCATATAAAAATATACTAAAAATATAAGCAAATGGTACTAAATTTTTTGCCTTAATTAAGTTGATATATTAGCTCATTTATCATCATTTAATATAATAACAAATGAGCTAGAGAATAACCAAAGCAGATTTTGATTTTCGTGTGATTTCATGTCAGTACATAATGAATAATAAAACATATTTTCGATTTATTCGATTGTAATGCAATACAAAGATTATCTCGCGATAAGGCTGCTATCCTTTCACTATGTCGGCAGTCGAATAATTGAAATTTATATTATTTGAATTACAAAATTAATGTGTTTCCAAGCATGTACTACGTGTGTTAAGATCACTCATGATATGGGGCCTGTATTAACTCTGTATCATTGGGATGTACATATGCTATTTTGAACCATAATTTTTCTTATTGCTATGAAATTAGGCTGTTATAAATAAAGTACTTTTATTTTATTGCCAAAGAAATTAAGTTATCGTATATAAAATTAATTATCATCTAGTTACAATGTAAATTGCTGAAAAAGCCCTATAATTTATGGTAGTAGAAACTATATTTCTCTCTTAATTCATAATTAATCAACAAATATCGCTCGACATCTCAATGTTACTATTGTCTAACGAATTGTAAAATACTCGAACTGATCATCTCTGTCATTTATAATTACACATGAAAAGCCCAAGAATTGTTGTTATTGAAAAAAAAGAAATAAAATGAAGTGCAAACTAATGTAAACATAATTTTGGTTGTATCAAACAAAGTGATTTTCCTTAAATTATAAAAGCTTATTTATTCATAAATAATTCTTTATTTAAAGTTAGAATTTCCTCTTTACTCTATGTAATTTAATAAACATGCTAGTAATATGCATAAAATCAACCTTCGTTCAAAACCAAGTACAAAACAGTTTCATTTACTATTTTTTGATTCCGATTATTTTTAGTGAATTTTGGAATAAAAAGACTTGTTACTCTTAACATGTATAAAATAATTTTTTAAATATATTAAAAACTTATGTTTTCCATTTTTATATTTAAAAAATTTTTCATGCTCTTTGGAGTGTTTTTTTAACAAGAGTATCTAATAGCGTTTTTAATATGCTTGGGTGCCGGAATACGCATTTATTTAGTATAGTTGATATAGATACTAGAAATAGCACCTCAGCTTCTGTTATTAAATTTTTCATTCATTTTGTTTAACAAGTAACCACTTGTTAACGAAGTCACGTGTGCTTTTCCGCAATATTTAGTACGAAGCTTCCCTAAGTTGAACAGTGTCGTGTGCCGTGGGTCGTTTATCGATCGAAGTAATTAATTTAGACACTAAATAATGTATGCGGTACAATTTACACGATACACGTTGCAACTTCCGTGAAAAACCTTTAAGTGTACATTGAACCAATTTTTAAAGAGAAACAAGCAAATCAAACTAGAGCTATCCTTTTTCAGTATCAGTAGGTCGTTTAGTTAACGACGGAAGTTGGATTTCCTAAATGTCGCATGCTAAACGTGCTTGTTTGTCTTTCTTGATTCCATTGTTTCACCCAGAATCTCTTTTAAAAGTGATAGTTTGAAATAATAGATTATTGGTAAAACGTAAAAAAAATATGAGAATGATGACAATAAAAGACTGAACGAAATTTAGAAACGAGCGAGCTGGAGGGTCCTTGGGCAGTTGAGTAACAAAAGGAGCTCTTTGAGAAGATCTTTAAGACGAAATTTCATCGCTTCTACTGCGACAGTGGGTGGCAATTGCAATGCATACGACAGCAACAGGCATGCCGTTGACAGCTCGACCCAATGCGTAGCCGTGGTCACGTCTATTCAGTACACGCTCACATCAAGTAAAACTGTGCCTTGATTATTCATTGTATCCTGTTCTAATTTTTTGCACTTGACATTTTGAAATTAATATATTACCTGTTTCAACGACCATTTATTGCACCGTATGTAAAAAGTAGCTTTAACGATTTATTATTTTTTGATATTTTCTTTGGCTTTTCGTGAAGCTTTCTTAATTATTGTTAATTCCATTCACGTGTGAAATCATAACAAAAAGTACTTCTAAAATCAAATGTAATACATTTATGACTTATGATTATCGGTCCAATAATTGGCTCTTACGACGCAGTAAAGCGTGCTTTGAGTGCAGTTTTAGGCTGCGTATAAATATCTATTCACTCTACTTGTTAAAATTAAAAGATAATTATTTTCTGTAAACTACGAACGGTGTGGATTTCACCGAATATATTCTAAAGAAAGCAAATGCATGCTTCAAATAAACTATCGTATTCCTTTAAAAGCAATAAATTTAGCTGTCCATGTAAATCTCCGTGTAAATAAGTGTAAAGACACTTTTATCTTGCGGAGATTATATCTAGAGTGCTGATAACGATTTATTCAAAATATACTTACTATCTTTGACAAAAATATGTCAAAAACAGTCGTCGAACCGTATTGTACATATTCAAAAAATACTCACATGACAAATCGATCAAGAAAAATTCGTAACTGTAATTTTACGATTAATCAGATAAAAAGATTTTTATTTCATATTATCTGTAATATTATTGTTCGATACTGATGGGTTTTCGCCTCTGAAGCTATTTTTTTTTAATTCGGATGGACCCACCCAGGTTTTTCTTATGTATTTCGATTCCCTGAATCTAAGTTTGTTGGGAGTTAGAGTGGTCGATTAATTGTTATTAATATTTTTTGTAACAAATTGAAAAATTGAGTTTGTCGCAATAAAAAAAATATGTTCATATTCTTTTATTAATTTTAAACAAAAATAGTCGGATTTTTGAGGCTGTATCAAAAATGTATCCCCCAACTTTTTGAACAACCTTAATACTCTTTTAACATTATCTTGATGTGTACTTTTATTTTTTTTTAATTCATACCGGTTAAACAATTATCTTACGGCTAAACTGAGTCGAGAGTTGACGTCTTAACAGGCGCGCGCGCCGCTTATTTGAACCGCGGTGGTGCTCCGAGTTTCATCCGACGTTTTGTTATCGTCTTGATACTTCCATACGATTTACATATCGTTTCAATTACAATGTTTTTTTCAATAATTTAATAGCTTTAGACATAATTCTAGTGCATATACTTATCTAATGATATTCTCGGAATCGTTATGAGTTGGTATATACAAATGTTTCTTAGGTGAAATTTGGGTTTCAACGTTTATTTAAGTACAAACAAAAATATATGTTTGCATTGAGCGTGAAATAATTTTTCATCGCAATAAATACATTAATCAATTTTGCGCCTCTAATACTAACTCTTTAACATTATACTTATTTTTTTTAATATATATGCTTTATTAACTTGCAAATTATTTAGTTTCAAGAGAAATAATTATACTTAAACTATTATATAGTAAGAAGTAGTATACTAACTAACATATCGATGCTACAATATATACATATTCATTTATTTTAACATTAAATTTGCAATTCGTCCTTATCTAGATATACATATATAGTTTTCATTACATCTATGTTTGGTGAGGATATGTAACACTTAATATTGAATGGAGGGTATTGCTTTAGCTTAGATAACTCTTTTAGCAAACTTTACTTTTGAGAATCAAATTTTGTACATTGCCTAATTATATAATTGAGGTCTTGTATATACTCACCGCATTCACACTTCGCATCTTTAACCACGTTAATTTTATTTAGAGATTCATTAAGGTTCACGTGGCCACTGCGGAACCTGCATAGTGTTGCCATGAATGCCCTACTTAATTTTAGACCTTGGAACCATGGTTTAACAGTAGGCTGATAATATAGTGAGAAATACAATTGTCCTTTGTGGTTTTCCTGATCTTTAATCGTGCGTATAGTTTGATTGGTGAATAATTTCTAAAAAAAGAATTTGAAATTAGTGTATGGCAATTGTTGATAGGTTGTTGCAGCGTAGCTTTTTTAGCATTTTCATCTGCAAGCTCATTACCTTCTATTCCAATATATGCTGGTATCCAATAGATGCTAATTATGAAGTTACCTGAACTAGTTTGGTAAAATTGGAGATTTTAGGCTCGTATTTCTAATAATTTAGTGTTACGTGACAGTTTTGATGTCTTTTCAAAACGGCCACGTGTTAGACCGTTTTTAGCTCCGAGTGGTTCTGACTCGGGCGAATTGAACCTTCAGTACGGTAACCCGACCGTGTCAGCGAATGGATCGCGTTTTTGCTGATAATATCCGAAATTCGTCCACACGAGCGGTAACCGAGAGTAATGGAAAAAAATGGGGGGGGGGGGGGGGGCTCGCTGGTTTATTAAAATGAACTTACACGGGTACGTAGGATAGATTTATATATATTTTGATACATAAGATAACACGTCTAGTAATGATATCGCGCTACTATCTAGTTCACGATTTATTAAATAAATGTTCTAAAATGCGCGGTCGGTCGTCCTTACACTCCTGGTCCCGGTACGCAAACACGTGGATTCACCGAAAGGGGAACCTTGATTATGGTAAGCAGTAGAGAGAGAGAAAAAAAATACACGGAAGAGATTTCGCTTTATCGAGAATAGAGACCAGAAGTACTCACTCTGTTGTTTTGGTCCGAAATATCGTTTGGTTCGTTATGTGGGTAATCACTCCTTTTGAATTCGGTCAGATTAACTGGTCCAATATATATTTCTTTTATCCAATAATATTCCAATAGCCAATAAAGTGAATACTGCTATGATTTTCGTTTACACAAAATTGTTAGAAATAATGGTACTCGGTATTTCGAATATTTAATTGTAACTCTAACTCTTATATTCTCAAACTCTTGAATTATAGATTTAAGTTTAGTAGGAAAATTGCAGGCTTCTTAGTCGAGCGCTCACTCCTGACTGATTAAATTCTATCGCTCTGCTTTCGCTGGTTTATTATATAGCCTTTGTCCCGAGCATACCGTCTCTCTCTCGCGCACATGCTTTAGACGTTTACGCTTCTCGTAGCGGCTCGTCTTACCTAGCTAAGCACGCCGACTGCAGCACGCTGTCCCAGCATGCTGACACAGCGTGAATTAGCCTCTGCCGCTCATTCCTGCCGAGTCGCGCATACGAATACTGCTAGCTATACTGTGTCAGAACGGAAATCCCGAAAGCAAAATATTATTCGATAGTAATATAATAGGCCGTCACGTAACATTTACGATTGATTTCCACTTTATTATTTATGTAACTCAAAGTTTGGACGACACTAAGTGAATCAGTGAAGATATCTATTTTACGATTAGTATGTAAGAGGACAATTCCCATTGAATCAACAATTGCCATAGTTTCTGCTGTGAAGATAGGCGCTTTATTGTTAATAATTCTCGTTTTAATAACGCTTAGTTCAGGACAGATACAGGCAGCACCTACTGATAATCCAGTTTGACTCTTACTCCCATCAGTGAAAATTTTAATCGAATCGCTATTGCCGAATAACTATAAAAAGTTCGTTTGGTTTATCATTATTTAGAAGTCTATGACCTATTTCAATATTGGTATTCACATGAGCTTTCATAATAGAGTGATCATAATTATATATAACAGGCAATTTATCAATGTTTAATAAATGTTCAATACAAACAACACTCCTAATACATTGCTTAAGGACACTACTTCTTTTCCTTCGATGAGAGTGATCATTCCCGTGACATACTTTTTAATGGCATTTCTAGATATTGACTGCTTAACACTCAGTGTTTTCAGAAGAAAGTTCTTACACAGTATTACCGATCTATGTTGTAGTGATATCAATTTTGATTCACCAAGAAACACA